AACTATAATCCATTACTCTTTAAATAAGTTGTAAATTTTGTGTTTTCATTTGACTGCTTTTATAAACTTGTCATCTGGTTGGATTACATTCGTAACAGTTCAAGGTCAAACTTGATCAGATCCCCGAGTCGTTTTTGACATAATCTTTTACAGACTCAAAATGACATCTTTTGGGTCAAAATGGCACTTCTGTCTAGATTTCCAGCTAAAAGTGATACGGACAATGATCCAAATGAGTGTCATTGTGACCCAGAAAGGTGTCATTCTGACCCTGAAAAGTACCATGTCGAATTGCACCTGGATTCCGAAAAACTGTACGAGTGTACAGCAGCTTTACTCCCCCTGGATTCCAAGCATACTTAATTGGCGTAAGTATACATTTCTAACGTTTGTGTTTGTATTTGTGTACAGCAATGTTGAAGGAGGCCGAAGGGTCTGTAAGCTACTCACTTTGACAGTTGTTGCCCGTTGCGCCATTTTGGCACGTACAGTCATACGTGTTGCCTCGCGGCATGCATTGTCCGCCATTCTGGCAGGGGTTAGGCATGCAAGGGTCATCGGCTGAATCTAAATAAAACAGGTAAGACATTTACGTCAAATGAAGCTTCTAAAACTTTATCATGTTAAACCAGGTGATTACCCAACGAAAACAAACAAGGTTCTTTTTTCGAGAAGGCAAGACATTTTTTTTTTTCAAAAGCACTAATTTGCAGGCAACGTACATTTGACTGACTAACATGTTTTACTTGCTTACATTAGAGAAGGTTACCCTACGGAAAAGTAAGGGCCAATTAGTCAGTCACCGGTAAAGTCAAATCAAGCAAGGCATGCTGAAGAAAGGACTGTGTGGTTTTTGTTTTACCGTTCATTAGAACAGTTTGTCACTTTACAACTAGAGGCTGAACGACTTGTGATTCACTTTCATTACGTTCATGTTTATTAAGTTGGTTATCTCTAAGATCGGAGTCAACATACATTATAATCAACCTAAATCTCACGATAGATCAAATATGAAATCTATCACCCTGGAATCAAGGAGATTTGGAACTTTCTACAATGAGTATGACGACTAATTACATAAGATTTTTGACATGCATATATTCATTCTCGGCAATATGAATAGTCAGTGGAAAGACCAGGGTTAGTAAGTACACATGTATGAACAGGAACCAGATTATTTTCATTGCTAAAACACGCTCTTTGGCTAAATTACCTAATGCGCTAAAAATAGAGAATATAAAAATGTATCATAAGAGTACTCAACAAAGTACTTCAAACAGACATACAAATGCTAATGATGTGGATGATAACATATATAGTGAGTAAGTAATGTATATATATATTGGCTATCGTTGTGTTTTGTTTCTGTTCTAACAATATTAGTGTTTTTGAATCAACTAGCCTTTTGGTGGGAGGACATAAGCTTTCTAAGATTACAACTGAGTCTTGCTATCAGAGACAAGATGAACTGATTTGAGATGTCGGGAACTTAAAAAGACAGACCGATGGTGATTCGAATAGAATAAGTACCCACTCAAAACACACAATTCTACGCGGGTGACCTTATATATCGTCATCGTGTCACAAAGGGACGGACACGTGGATTTTGAAGAAATATCGTTTTCGAGATAATTGCAAGAGAAGTTTCTCCAATTTCAAAACTGCAAAACTACTACTTTGCAACAACTTTAAGCAATTAGGAAACTTTCATATCATTCTTTTAATGGGTAAACTTTAATTTTGAACACATTATAATTAACACATTAGCCAGATTTAATTAGTAAAGGGGCTCCATAGCCGAGCAGTTAGAGCGTAAAGCTACGGAGTGGAAGGTCGGCGGTTCGAATCCCATTCGGACCAAAAACTGGAAAACTCTCTCGGACGACCCAACAGTAAAATGGGTACCTGATTCGTTCAGGGAAGGTAAGACGGCGAGTGGAGAGGACTGGGCACCGCCACTCACATGCCGTGCCCAAGACACAGTGGACCTCTAACATCCCACTGCCCCTACGGCCAGTAATGGCTATGGGACCTTTACCTACCTACCTAATAAGTAAAGATGCCCGTCCCTTCAAGGAAACGAAAATCCAAGTTGTCCACATTTTCGTCCTTGTTCAATGGGTTCTTCCATGAGAATATAAAATATTGGTTGACTTACTTAACGCCTTTCAGTGCAATACGTGTTGTACGTGTTCAAGGGGCAGGCATATTCGCGTCTCTTGGTGAAATTTTATTTGACAATTTTTACAAGCCCGTCGCTTCATCCAGGTCAATTTTAATTGGTGCCTTGAACAATTTCAGGAAAGGTAACAATTATTTCAATCACTGTTGCACATATTTGTCCCTAGTTTCATAGCATGGTACTCTTTAGTTCTGAAAAGAACTTGTCCTCCTGACGATGACTAAAGCAGGCTAGTCGAAACATTGAGACCAAAGACAAGTTCTTTTAGAAAAGGACTAAAACTACTTAGCGATAGCAGATAACAAAAATATGTACTGGGCAGTAGTGGTGTTATCGCAATCAAGACGACACGAATACTCCACCATGCAAAGCCTAAAATCTTATAACAATGTACTCACTTTGGCAATCCCCTCCACTAAACCCGGCGGGGCAGGAACAGTTATAGAAATCACCGGTGGACTGTGGAATACACGTGCCGCCATTTTGACAGGGGTTTGGGTTGATACAAACATTATCTACATGTATATGTAAAATAAATGGAGATTTAATCACCACAAAGCTGAATAGCAAATCATTTGTGAAATAGCCAATGTGAACCCCCAAACACTTCGGTCACGTCATTTGTTATTCCCAGGACGGTAGGGACCAAATCATGAATAATTCAGCAGTTTCGATCTGGCCAGAATGTTTATTCATGAGAACAGAACAATGATACAAAGAGCATTATTGTTATAAAGTCAACCAGTTACATTAAAGCCTAATAGCAGTAGTAGTTAGAGTAGTCTAGTAGATAGCATGATGAGTTATGGAAATAAAGATCGCTGGTTCGAATCCATGTCGTCGCTGCTCATTTTCGTCGACTATTTTTCTTTTCCAAATTGATCTTTGAGATAATTTTAATTTGAGGGAAAACGCTCGAGAACTAGAACATAAAGTGTCCTGCAATGTTTTAAAGGAAAAACAGAATTATGCATGACTTGGCCCTAGCCCTTCTAGGAAAAAATACGCTCCCCGGATCGGACAATATCAAAAGGGGGCGCTCTCTCGGTGTTATGCATATTCATGATGTCCAGGGGAATTAGAGAATAAGTTATATAACAGGGAATAGTAGTGTTTAAATCACCAATGATTGGCAGCTCATTCGTGGACTGGTTGAAAAAAGTCCTGACTTCTAATCAGGCGAACCGAGTTTGAATCTCAGTGAGCGTTTTTCACTTCTTCTTATTTTACCATTTAAATAAGTAAAGTGATGCAGGAACATTTCTCGCAAGACGTAAAACCTATCTTGGGTTTGTGTTATGGAGAACAAGGCATTAGATATGCATACAATGGACCAATCAGAAGATGGAAAGCAGAATGTCGGTTGGGAAAAAAATCGCTCCTCGGTCGTTATGTACGTCCGCCTATTGTGATCAACGAGCCTCTTCATACGTACATTCCAATGAAGTTCAACTGAACTATATTAACCTTTAGGTCTGAATCGAAGAAGTCGGTATTCATTATTTCGAATACAAACTTTGTGTAGTTCAGTCTAGTTTCACTCTGTTCTGATTATGATAGGTAAACGCATTTTGCATATTGCATACCTTCACATGTTGGTACCGAGTCACTCCACGTGACGTTGTTGTAGCCAGTCTCAATGCATTCAATGCTGGTTGCTCCATAGAGGGTATATCCAGGGTCGCAGGAGAAATCCACACGAGTCCCAAAGAACTTGTAGTTGATGAAATTGTAAGACAGTGAACGCGGGTTGGTGATGGTGTGGTCTCCGTTGGTGGGTGGTCCTATGTTGTTACTACACACTCCTTGTGATACTGCAATAAGACAACATAATACGTATCTTGTGAACTTCTGATGAGGCGATCCATGTTGTTGATGAGTCAATCACAATTCCGTTCGCAAGTAAACCGCAAGCTACTTCACAAGTCCGGCCAAAAGTTAAGCCCTAGTCACACAATTACAGTTTTGAAATGTGAATATCCATGTCTTACCAAAATCACGATGAACCGTCGAGATCACGATGAACCGTCGAGATTAGTGGAGAAATCAAAGTTCTAAGAATGCTCTACGGTTTCAGAACGGATAGCCGCGACTGATCTATGGTTTCTCTACGAATACACCACGGTTTTGTCAAGAATATGGACGGATTGGTGAAGAAAATCGACGGTATTACCGAGAATAATGACGCCACCGTCACGGTTGGCTGTTATGGGCCACTGATGACCAAGGTTCTCCTGCGAATACAGCTTAAACATTTGTAGTACAACTTTAGCAGAACTCTAGCACATCATGGCATATCCTTAGGACATTCGTAGCGAATTCGTAGAGATTTCGACCACGAATGAGCTACGAATCTCCAATAAGAACGAATAAAGCCACGAATAACACTACGAATAAGTACGGTTGTCCCACGGATGTCCCACGGTTGCACTACGGATTAATGTTCATGACGGTTTACAACGGAAGTTATGAACAGTTTTAAACTCCCGTAGCCTTTCCACGAATACCCAAGGAAGATGACGGATAACCACGGATGTACCAAGTATGAATACGGTACTCCCACACTTTATCACGAATTTCAAACCGTGGAGATCCGTATAGCTACAAACCGTGAATGTGTGACTGGGACTTAACATTGGATGAATGTTGACAAAGGAATGCCCTCGTCTCATTTTATTTCAATAGATTGTGACATGACGAAGGACTGGATGATGTGTGATGGATTTATGAGGACTTGTGATGTACTCAACTGGCTTTGAATGAAAATCCACAGTACATTTGAATGAACTGTAAAATGTGTTCAGTTGGTTATTTTGTTCTACTCACCTGTGTACACGGATATGCGCCAACTGCCTCCACAGATCTGATTGTTGTTTCCGGGGCACACATATTTGCAATCGGAATCCGGCTCTTTACCGTGTTTATCGTAGTTGTCATTCCCACACCAGCATTCGTATTTGTATTCCATTCCCGCATATTTATACTCGGTAGGTTCCAAACAGTTTCTGAAGCACCACTCTACCGACTGTTCATATTCTGAGGCTGCTGGGCCGACCGATAGGGAACGATATTCAGCGTCCCCAAAACATCCCAAATAACCAGGAGCTGGAACAAGAAAACAAATTTGAAAACATAACTGGTATCAAACCTACCCAAAGCCAAGGGCGGATCGGGGGGGGGGGGGGGGCCAAAGGGGGCCATGCCCCCCCAAAAAAACAACAACAACCCCGAAACCAATTGTTCTTTTTTATGTGACGTCGCAATAAAGGCAGGCAATGAGAACACCACCATCTTTCCTAAAAAAACATTGGCTAAAGTGGTCAGAAATTGTCTCAGATCGCACCACAGAGCATCGAGAATCTAAACAATTTTCGGGGCCCTTAAGCGGGCCTCGCACCCCACGCCGTAATTTTTTGACCCACTTTGTGGGAGACACACAATTGTTGTTTGCCCCCCCCCCAAAAAAAAAAAAAAAAAAAAAAAAAAATTGTGCTCCGGATCTGCCCTTGCCCAAAGCATACATAAAGTTCGTCAAAATGTCCTAAAGGTGTCAAACCAATAAATACTAGATGTACTTAAGATTGGGCCCTAACTACATATTGCTTTATTTACCAGCAATGTCAGATGCTACTCGTATGATCGAGCTACGGGTAAGTCAAAAAAATCGGAACCCAAACCTCAACAAATATGTTTCATATTAAAAAAAAACAAACAACTATGTAGCACCAAAAATAATAATGACTGGAAAGCCAATTTCATCAGCTACTTTTGGTTAAAAAAAATACTGGAATTGCTCAATCCGTTTAGGGAATATTGCTATTTAAACGCAATGACACTAAAACATGTTTCGTCCAAAAAAGAAAGCAATATATCTATTTATTGGATTGCAGTGCTAATGCAGTTATCACTGTACATATGGCTTGAAATTCGACTCTTTCTTGGTAAAGAATATATTATTGGTTTACTGCACAGTTGTGGTTTTGACAAACTCGTTGACTTTCCCACCAAAGTTGATATAGTTTGTTTGCTTGATTAAAGTGGTTCATCTTCATCATCACTGCACTTTTCTTCAATATGCCAGTAAACTTTTGTCCATTTACATGTGCTGCGTGTGTAAATACAGTCTATCCACATCTACAATGTCGCCCTCTATGGTAGTTTTGTAACCATAAGATCTTTCATTGTACATGTATACAACAATCAATTACATCGCTATTTCTATTTTGAGGTTCATTGTTTAAAATTTTCGGTGGTTTTGGCCAAACGAATTTTTGGAGACATTGGAAGGAGAACATTTCGTGGAGAACATTTCGTGGCAGCCAGAGAACAAAACGTGGCGGCCATTTTGTAAAGCAAGATAGCTGTCATTCATTGTTTTTTTGATGAAAATTAAAACAGTCAATTTTAAACCCTTGATATTTACAATTAGGGGTGTAAAGCCACTAAGATTAATTTCATAATATGACATTCACAAGTTGAAAATGATCCTAAAATTGCGTCCATTTTGAAATTCAAGATGGCCGCCATCTGCAACACTTAGTATTTTGCAAACATGTTTTTTTCTTTTTCCTGGGGGTCTAATTAAGGTTTCTAGCTAGGCGGCGTTTTCTAATCATTCGGTGTCTACGGCACTTAATTTCATGCCATAATATATCCCTGTGATGCATAGAATTCCAAACGGCCCAGGAATAAGCTTTCGCTTCTCAAGCACTCCATTCGCTCCAGGCTGTGTTTGTGGCACCGGTACCGGTGAAACATTCACCACGTACATCGAGACACGTCAATGTTAGGTACGTGTAATATAAATATTCATATCCTCCTATAGCTAATCTAATCAGAATGCTTCTCCGTTCATTTTTTTAGCACGCATATGGGACCGAGGATGCAGGAATCGTTGTAGACTGTTTCCCTGCCCCCCCCCCCCCCCAATATATAAGGAGACCGGTAGCTAGCGCGCATCATGATTGTTTTCCAAATCACTGTGTATGGACGGTGATTCAACACACGCTTTTTAAAAAACTCACTCTTGTCTTACTACCTAAAGTACGCAAAATCATCAGGGTCTCCACTCTCCATGAACTTCAAGGTAACTTTTTCAACTGCATAGGTTTTAAATACTGAGCAGTAATTTCTCTCTATCTCTCTCTTTATTAATATTTGCCAGAGACACTTTCGAGTTCAGCAGAAAAAAATCGAAGGTAATCACATCCGAAATTGAACAATCGTGGCGCGGTTATTGTCATTTTTGCAAAAGGCTGGTTCTTGCAAACGTTACGGTTGTAATGTTCAATTCAGGAGGCGGAATTCAGACCTGTACACGTCATGCATATATTTGCATACATCAGGAGGGATGCCTCCTGATGTGTGCAAGATTCACCGCTAGCTACCCGTCCCCATATTTGAAATCCAAAGGACAATGGGGACAGGGAATCAGACTAGAATCGTTGCTGCATGTGTATTATACCGCGCGCTTCACGTAAAACTGGGACGGTATGCGGTTGTCAGATACGGTGCAGTGCGCTGCGCGGCGGCGCAGGCGGACTAAACCCGGCAAAATGCCGACTTGATTTCTAGTCTACCTACCAGCACACTCTCCAGACGTGTACTCTTCAACCGCCAACTCGGCAAGTTGCAGAAATGCACGTGCTGCATCCACACCGGGCATGGAAGTATTGATGTCCAAGCTGACATACCTAGCAAGCCGCGGTGGCTCGCACAGGAACGTGATCTCGGCTCCATTCTGAGACTGTTCGCTGGTAGCCGGTGAGCCGCACGGCAGGTTCTCGTTGAAGTTGGGGCTCAGTCCAGCTCGGGCTATCGCCCCGATGAAACGAAAACCTATAAAAAGAAAAAACAGTTCAACTTTATTCGTCACCATTTTCACGAAGAGCCACATATGTCGATTTTGAAGAAGAAGCGTTTTCGAGATAATCGCAAAAAAAGTTTCTCCTATTTTAAAACTGGAAAAAATACCACTTTGCAACAAATTTGTGAAGCAAGGACCATCACACTATTCTGTGTGAGCTGAATTTTTACATGAACCCAGTAATAAGACTTAATTCAGCAGTTATTTAGTGAAATTTAATTAGTAAAGATATGTGGCTCTTCGTGAAAACGCAATTAAGGTTTCCGACATATTGGCCCTTTCTGTTCAATGTGTATTTCCATAGGCGCGCGTGAGTACTCGCGCGCAGCTGAAAATGTAACAAAGATATGTGGCCCTTTGTGAAAACGCAAATCTCATTTGACCTACTTTTACGTATTTCCGTGCAATGGGTTTTGTACGCGTTCAAAGGGCCAAAATGTATGTGGCTCGTCGTGAAAACGCAAAATTCAATTATCGAGATTTTGGCCTCTTGCAACATTAATGTAACTTGGAAATTAATGATGTTTGGCTTACAGAAACATGTTAAAATGGTTAAGTACATTGCTTTAAAGCAAAATATTGAATAAAATCAAAATCGAAAAAAATGGTAATTTTTGACATATGTGGCTCTTCGTGAAAACGGTGACGTATTATGTACAGACATGGTTATCAGAATGTCTGATATATATATATGATATTTATAATTATCTCTGGATGATTCTTAAAATCTCCTGATTTAGTTTGTATACATTACAGATTATTTTGAATGCATATACATTTTGAAATTAGTAAAAGTTTGCCATATCAAAGTGATTGATCTTTAAGCAATTTTACCCCATCCATCAGTTCGGAGAGTGACATTGATTCTGCCCAAGCAGTGATTGCTACCTAGGTCCAGCAGCCACCAAGGATGCGGATCATTAGGACCTGAAATGTAGGAAAGGAAGAAAATGTTTTCAATACAAATGTACTTTGTGTATTTTTAACAACTGCGAACAAAGTGGTGACGTTGATGCTGAGGGTGGTGAAAGCTAACAATGGTGAAAATGATAAAGATCGTGTCAGTTGGGATGCAAGGCGATGGGGACGGAGAGGCAATGGGGAGCGATTGGGAAGGGGAGGTACGTGGTGATGGACATCAGGTGCACGTGGGGATGGGACCTGGGATGGCAGGGAGGGAAGAGGGCATTGGGATAACGATCAGTGGGTGATGGGGATAAGTATGGGGATGGGGACGAGGATCAGATTGGAAATGGGGACGGAGAGGCAAGGGAAAGGGATTGTGAAGGGGGATAGTGATGGACAGGAGGTGTACGTGGAGAGGGGACCTGGGATAGCAGGGGAGGGAAGAGGGCATGGGGCTAACGGTCAGTGGGTGATGGGATCAGTATGGGGATGGGGACAGGGGCCAGTATTTGGATAGGGACGGGGGTCAGTGGGGGATATGAACGGATTCAGTGCAGTGTGGGGATACGGACGGGGATAAGTTTTGGGATAGGGACGGGGATCAGTATGGGGATGGGGAAGAGGATCAGCCTGGGATGGGTATTAAGTATGGGCATTCGGAAGAGGAGAAGATTTGCTTGATCAGGTGAGGGAATGATCAGTGAGGGAATGGGGACGGAGATCAGGATGGGTATGAGGACGGGGATCACATTGCGATCTGGACGGGGTTCCATATTGTGGTAGGGACGGAAATAAGTGTTGCGATGGGTATTGGATGGGGACAGGAAAAAGTATATAGGGATTATGACGGGAATTAGTATGCTGATTGGATCGGAACAGGTTCAGCATGGGGAGGAGATATCAAACTACGGAGATGCGCACGGAGATCAGTGTTTGGATGGGGATGGGGATCCGTATAATGATAGGGGTGGGGATTAGTATAAGGATGGGGATCGGATTGGTATGGAGACATGGATCGGTATGGGGAAAGAAATGGATCAGTATTGGGATGCGAAGGTGGATCAGTATGGCGATAGGAACGGGCATGAGTATGGGATTGGAATGGCATCAGTATGATAGTGACATATTTCAGTATGGGGAGGGGATCAGTATGGAATCAGTATGGTGATAGGGCGGGAATCAGAATGTGGCCGGGGGTATGCATGGGCTCAGTATGGGGGTTCTGAATGCATTATATAATATCAAGGCCTTCTGCTTTTGCTTTCTGTGAATTGGCCTCCATATGTTTGTTTAATTATCTTTCCAGTAATTATTCTTTGTCCATTTTCTCTGCAATGCACGGAAATAAGTGTATATTGAATTGAATTGAATTATTGGGGGATTTGGTGGAATAGGCATGAGTATGGAATTGGAATGGCATCACTTCAGTATGATAGTGACATATTTCCGTGTGGTGAGGGGATCAGTATGGAATCAATATGGTGATAGGGCGGGAATCAGAATGTGGCCGGGGGTCTGCATGGGTTTGGGGTGGAGATCTGAAAGTGGCCGGGGATCAGTATGGGGGTTCTGAATGCATTATATCATATCAAGGCCTTCTGCTTTTGCTTTCTGTGAATTGGCCTCCATACGTTTGTTATTTATCTTCCCAGTAATTATTCTTTGTCCATTTTCTCTGCAATGCACGGAAATAAGTGTATATTGAATTGAATTGTTGGGGGATTCGGTGGCTGGACGTTGGCATTGGGCGGGACTGAGGACCGAGGAGATTGATGAGGGTGCAACTGGTGGAGGGTGTTAAGGGTTGGTACCGTGACATTAATTTCGAGAATGACGCAGGTGACGTGGGAGACGAATTCGACGATGGCATGAAGTTACAGCAAATGCGGAGGTATATTTCTCATTGTTCTTACCAGTGTGCGTGAAGGAATATGTCCATCCATCGATGGCCAAAAAAGAAGGGTGAGGAAGCCATGTTGAGCTCTGTGATGTACTTTTCCCATTAACAGGGAGGGCTGAAATGAATCAGGATTTTGATAACAATTAAAAGAATGACAACTACAATTTGAATTTGAAACTAGAAACGATTGTGTTTGAGGACAAGCGCCAGCTGTTTATCCTGAAACGACTCAGTGACGTGACGAACACACCATGACGTCACTTCAAATTTCATCTATATTTTTTATTTCGGTATAAAGTTACAACCAAATCGAACATTATAGTTCTGTAGATATATGCCATTATTTGAAAACATCATACTGAATTCACTTTAATTTCCATCTATGATACATTCCGGTATGGGCACATATCAAGTTGTCCATTTAATATGACATCACATGACATGTGATGACTTCATGAGGACGTCACTTCGATTTTCATCTGAACCACACCCCTGTCTATGTGCATACCAAGTTTCAACCCAATCGGAATGGTACTTCAGAAGTTATAACAGCTCGAAACAAAATGCCCTTCTAATATGAAGTCATGTGACACAAGATGTTGTCATCAGGGTCCATCTCTGGTTGGTGGTCTAGGTATCTGGTATGTCTCAAGTCAATCAGACATATGAAAGTGCCAAAGTGTATGGCTTGAAGAAGAACGTGTACAAAATATTGTGGAGAAAAATACATCTTTAATGTGAGGTTACACTGCGCATTGTAAACTACATGTATGGGCCTGATGCACGAGTTGGCCATTCTCTGAATGCATTTCATTAAGTGTTATCTGTTGAATTGGATGGTGCCGGACTCTTTATGCAGACATGATGCAGCCTTATTTACTGTCATTTTTTTAGTCTGGCTTTTAAAATGTGTATATTACAAATTTTAAATTATTCATTTAAAGCAGACTGGAATTAATTATTAATTCACTTTTTTCATTTCTCTTCACAAGTTCCAAAAATTAAGATGTAACCTCAATTTCAAATCAACAGGGCCGACTATAAGGCCCAATAGGCCTTTTCTACATCGTGTCAATGCCGGTGTGGACGGACATTCTGTCCCTGAAAAACTTTGCCTGGTTTGTCTACGAAATTGTGTCCCTGACACAGTTTTCCTATGTAATACTGTCAACCTTATAAAACACATGTCTTTCAGTGAACAGATTAGCAATTTGCCTATTTCGCCTTGGCCGAGGATATCACAATTACACAAAGCAAATTTTGCAGGTAGGCTGTAAAGTCCTGTATTTATTGGAGCGTGACCTTGGAAATACCAAACGATCGTTGTCGCCTACCAGCACACTCACCAGACGTGACGTTTTCCACCGTCACCTCGGCAAGTTGCAGATATGCCTCTCTCGGATCTACACCGGGCATGGAGGTATCGATGTCCAAGCTGATATACCTAGCCGTCCGCGGTGGCTCGCACAGGAACGGGATCTCAGCTCCATCCTGAGACTGTTCGCTGGTAGCCGGTGAGCCGCACGGCAGGTTCTCGGCGAAGTTGGGGCTCAGTCCGGCTCGCCCTATCGCCCCGGTGAAACGAAAACCTAGAGAGGAAAAGACAGTTCTACTTCGTAAATTACAGTTTCGCAAAAAAAAAAATCTTTCTAAAAAAGAAAACCTAATAATTCGTAGGGTGAAGTGTATGAAGAACATTTACCCCCGCTGTCCTTTCGGAGAGTGACGTTGATTCTACTCAAGTTGTGAGGGCTACCTAGGTCAAGCAGCCACCAAGGATGCGGATCATTATCATCTGGAAGGAAGGAAAGGAAGAATATTAAAGGGTCCATGAAGTGAAAATTTCTTAGGAACTTGTTTTGTGCTCCTTTCTAATCCTCTAAATCCCGGTTCATATACTTCATGCGAATGCAAATGCGAAGCGAATTTGACGTCATGAAACATTCGGTGCGAAGTTTGCCCGAGTTGAAATATGTTTTGCAAATTCGCAGCGTAAATAGTTGCCATGACGGCACAATTTGCGTTCGCTTTTGCGCCTAGTATGAACCGCGCTTTATGAGACTGAAAACTACTTGACCTTCCTTTTTGGTTACTTTTACTAAAAAGAGTACCTCTCTCAACGTATTAAATTGTCCATGCTTTTCCAGACAACAAAGGGTGATTTTGCCGTGGTGTTCTTTCAGTAAGACACTGTCCATATTATGTGTTTTTTTTCTGCTGAAATTATGAATGAAGACATTTGAGAGAAAAGTTTGCTCACTGGCTTACTGCCATGAACTGACACATCAACTCTTTCGCTACGGCGAGCCGCTGACAGCAGCACACAACAATTGTACAAGTCGTACGGAAAGCCGCTGGCAGCGGCTCGGTGACGTTGCCGTGAATAAACAGGGTACTCCCATGACGTGACCTTATCCACATAATTTATACCGTATAACCTCTGACCCTAGTTTGAGCCGCTGTCAGCAGCTTTCCGTCTCGCCGGGGTCTGCTGCAGGTTATTGTGAGCAGTTTGTTTACAGAGATACATTTAAAGATGGCAGCGTCTACATCGACACACGGCGGAATTTCCAGCGATTTATTACGTCCAAACGGGACGAAATCAGTAAATTATAATAAAATCCGAATGGTCGGAGAGGCAAGGGCAAGAGATTAGGAAGGGGAGGGAGGGAATGAGGATGGACATAGGGATAGCATGGGAGGGAAGGGGCACAGGAGTGAGAGCAATTAGGATGGGGATGGGTATGGAGGTGGGGATGGGGATAGGGATGGGGATGGGGATGGGGATGGGGATGGGGATGGGGATGGGGATGGGGATGGGGATGGGGATGGGGATGGGGATGGGGACTGGGATGGGGATGGAGATTGGGATGGGGATGGGGATGGGGATGGGGATGGGGATGGGATGGGGATGGGGATGGGGATGGGGAAGGGGATGGGGATGGGGATGGGGAAGGGGATGGGGATAGGGATGGGATGGGAATGGGGATGGGAATGGGGATGGGAATTGAAATAGGGGTGGGGATGGGGATGGGGATGGGGTTGGGGATGGGGATGGGGATGGGGATGGGGATGGGGATGGGGATGGGGATGGGGATGGGGATGGGGATGGGGGTGGAGGTGGGGATGGGGATAGGGATGGGATGGGGATGGGGATAGGAATGGGGATGGGAATTGAAATAGGGGTGGGGATGGGGATGGGGAAAGGGATGGGGATGGAGATAGGGATGGGGATGGGGATGACGATAGGGATGGGGAAGGGGATGGGGATGGAAATAGGGATGAAGATAGGGATGGGGACGGGGATAGGGATGGGGAATTGGGATGGGGATTGAAATAGGGGTGGGGTGGGGATGGGGATAGGGACGGGGATAGGGATGGGGAAAGGGATGGGGATGGAGATAGGGATGGGGATGGAGATAGGGATTGGGATGGAAATGGGGATGGGGATGCCTGGTTTGCCAACATAATGAGGATGGCAAACAGCAGAGTTTCAAAACGAGTCCTGATGAAAACAGTGACTGGGAAAAATAGACGGGATAGGCCAAGGAAGAGATGGGAAAATGACATCATGGATAACCTTGAACAAACCTTGAACCTTGAACACCGCAGAGCGCAAGACAAACAGGAATGGAGAGCGAAAGCTGGTGGAGCCAACGTCCTTCGGGACATGGTGCAGGATTAGATTAGATTAGATTAGATTAGTATTGATAAATTAAAAGCAAATATGATTTACATCTCTTTTTTCTTTCCTGCCCCCTTTTCTTTTTCTCCCGTTTGGGTTTTTTTTTCCAAGGGGAAGCGCCCCTTGCCCCCTCCCTTTCGCGACGCCGATGGAAGCAGCAGGAGGAAGTGTTGGTACTGTGTCATTGATTTCAAGAATGCCGAAGGTGACTAGAGAAACGAAGTAGATGATGACATGGGGTCACAGCAAATGAAGAAGTATTTCCCATTGTTCTTACCGGTGTGCGAGAAGGAATTCGTCCGTCCATCGATGGCCTGATAAGATTGATGAGGCGACCATTCGGTGCTCTGTGACGTATGTTTCCCATGAATAGGGAGGGCTGAAAATAAATCAGGGATTTGATAACAACTTACAATGGACAATAGCCAAGGTATTTAACCCTTTTCTTTTATGAAAGTCTTGCTGGAAATAAAATTAAAAAACATAACATTCCAAAGTCGTGAACCGCACCCCAAAAAAACCCAAAGCACATGCCTTCTTCCTACCTCTGACGCCCCCCCCCCCTCCACGACATCTGAATGTGGTGCAATCTATGACGTTCTGGACTTAACTTCTTTTAAAAACAAGAGTTGCTACTCTTTCAAGGGGTAAAAAGCTGCAACATAGACTGACAAATTCAACTGAAAGCTCAAAAACTAAATGCACACTCGAAAAATCGACTCGAAACGTAAACTCCAATTTCGACAAGACCACAAAATAGAATTCATCGTTAAATTTTACATGTCCAACAAAACAGTGCACATGCATATGTAGAGGTTTTGCATACAAGTACCATGGGGCAGGTGGGTGAATGTACATGTGTGTACATTGTACTTGCACAATTTCTTTGGTGTAATCGAAAAAGATTATATATTATATATCGGCTTCCGATGACGAGAAGAATTATTTTTCTTTAAGCCAACCAAACTATTTTGCAATAAACATTTTGGTAAAAGTCCGTTATATTTTGTTTCAGAACGTATTTTAAAACAATAGTGCAGACTGAGAGTGGCGCAAGTTGCGCCATTTTCGGTTCAATTTGCCTGGCGTCTAAGATGTCACATGGTCTGAAGTTATAAATATTCTGTCTTAAGGCTAATGTAATCAAAGAACATTTTCAAGCCATTTGAAGCAAATATTAAATATTAAGCAAATTCAAATATAGCATAACTTTGTACAACGAAAACAACATTTTAAATTAGCTCAACTTCCCACCCTGTGCACATTCTAACAAAAGTGGCCATTAATGCACATCAAAAAGGAATTAATGAAGGAGGGCAAAACAGAGGGCAGTTTTTTAATGCTGTCCCAACTCAAAGGCCAGATAGAGGGGTGGCTCAACTGACCCCATGGCTCGACTGACCCCATGGCTCAATTGAGCCCATGGTTTAACCTGGCTGAACGTGGGCTTTCCTCAGATAATTCCTCTGGGCTTTTTCTCCCACCTCTAAAACAATCAGTATTCGGTTTGCACATTTTAACTGCTGTCGTCACCAGACCGGAAAGGTGGGAAATAACGTGTACATGTACATATTAAATGCAGGTAGTGACATTTTATCATAAAAAAGCATTTGTTCGCAATTAAAGCGATTTTACTGGGGAGGCTGAATGTTATGTTTCTGTTCCTGTTCAGACAAAAAAAGATTAACAACAAGGCAATGTTCAATGAAATAGTTTTCGTCTCGTTCACTATGGCGTTTGTAACACAATACGTGTACATAACAGGTACTGACATTTATCAAAAAGAAGCATTTTTAACTCAGTTGTAAAAACATATTTTAATGGGGAAGCTGAATGTTATGTTTCTTCTCCTGTTCAGACATAAAACAATTCACAACGTCCAATGAAGTAGTTTTCGTCCCGATTATTTTAACGTTTGTAACACAATAAACGCAATGCTATGGTTTCCTTTTTTTGTGGCCACGGTGGTTCAAGAGTGGCCATCAACTTTTCAACCACCAGAAAATACAGATTGCATATTTTGTCACAATGGTTCCAAAGTAGCCATCGGCTTTAATGTTCTGCTTGCACCTACAAACTGATAACTTTTCCCAATTACCCTGCCTCCTCTTTATTATGATTATGAGTGAACAAGCCTTCATCTGCAAACAGCTATGATGCGCGTGGACGTAGCCGCTCTTTACAGCGCTCTCGTCGTTTGCTATTCTGACACTTTGTACATCGAATGAATAGGTACACTGGACACTAATAATTCTATGTTACAACTGATGATGTAACAACCAACGGATAATGTATCACCATCCGATAATGTCACACAAATTGACCGATGCTGTATCACTAACCGATAATGTAACAGAAATTGACCGATAGTGTAGTAAAAATGTACTGCACTATCAGTTGATTGTTGTTACATTATCGGTCTAAACCGGTCGGTGATCATTATCCGTTGTAAGATGGAATTTTGTGTCGGGGTGATATAAATCAAATTAGGTTTTGCCCGTCGGTGAAGGTCAAAACCTAATTTGATTCATTATCCGTTGGTTATTACATTATCAGTTGTAACATCCTATTCCAACCAGCAACATTCTAATAGCGAGGCATTAACGCCCTTTCCTTATAAAACAGATGAATAGAAAAGAAAAGGCTTGGATGCACAAGAACCACAAATACGACATCTTTTATCTGAGTCTTGCGGGACCCTATATGGCCCGGTTTAATTTTGACGTCTCTTCTCCTTCGTAGGTGAAAAAACAGTATGCATGTACATGTAAAAAAGCAATGTGATGACGAAGACTAGAGAAGAATACCGTTAATACCCCTTACATTGGCTTCTTGAAACGCTGATTTGATAGGCGCTGACATTATAATGCGGCAAAAATCTGGGTGATTTATGCGGAAGCCTATACAATTATCCCGGCCGACTCTTCTGTCCAGGTGGAATAGTAATCCGATCGGGCTGAATGCTATTTCGCATGGGCGTATTACTATAGGTTTTCCCGTCCAATTTCGCACTTAGTGCATGCAAAAGTAAAAATAGTTCATTCAATTTTGCTATAGGGCAACCAAAAATTCAAACTAGTCATTCAAAATCGCCATAGGGCAGTCAAAAAAGAGAAACAGATATTCAGAATCACCATACGGCAGCCAAAAATTCATAATTGGCATTCAGATTCGCCATAGAGCAATCAAAAGTGTAAAAACAACATTCAGATTCGCCATATTGCATTCAAGTTAGCACGGAAGGACACGTGACTGAAGGTAGAGCATTCAATTTCGCCATAGGGTATTCATGTTCATAACTTGTGCATTAAATTATTTAGCATTGTATTTACATGACTTGTATACAGTAATACATTATTCAAATATTCTTTGCGCGTTTTTCCCAACCTGCAATATGTGTGCCACCAATGACCATTCATAAAACTTCACTGGACAATTTACTTTTTTTTTTACAGATGCCTGGACTTCGATAGTTGTATTTGTTTTGTCTCCTAGAGGTGAAATGTAAATTATAGAAGCATTGGCCTGCTTATTGAGCAAGTTATTTTGTTCCTCATCAGCGCCTTGGCGCAAATTGTATATATATATATTTCTTTCATCTCCTTTGGTAATGCATTCTTTGCATTTCACCCTTTGGTTTCCACATATAATTATCAACAGCTTTAGAATTTACATTGGCAGACATTACGAAATTAACATCAATTGTTACACATTCCTTTTACTCCAGATGTACTGAGTATATTGGGTTACATTTTAGAAAGGTACACATGCTATGTTTGATGTCTCTAGTCAATGCATATAATTGAAGAGATGGTGCAAATGACCACAAGAAAATATACATTATGAAAGAAAATTTACAAAGATAAAAAAGGCATATGAATTAACAGAGGGAAATGTAAGGAAATTTTCCCTATGTTAATTCATATGCCTTTGGGCCATCCGATAAATATGATTTTTATTCGGCGACTTAATATAGACAAAGTAAGCTCATAAAGGCGAAGAAGATATAAACATGAGAAAGCTATAAAAAACAAATAGAAAAAAAATTACATGTGCTCAATTGGATGCACAAATTGTATAATTGGATGCCCTATGGCGAAATTGAATGCTCTAACTTAGCTCGAGGGGGTTTCAAGGGCAAACTTGGTTGCACTATGTACGAATTCGTATGCCGATTGGCGAATTTGGTTGCCCTTCAGCGATTATGAATGCCAATTGGCCATTTTGGCTGCACTATAGCGAATTTGAATGCCGATTGGTGATTTTGGCTGCCCTATCCGCGAAATTGAATGACCTATTTATACTTTCTCATGCACTATGTGCGAAATTGAATGACCTATCTTTACTTTTGCATGCACTAAGTGCGGAATTGGACGGGAAAACCTATATTATGACGGATAACGGTTTCACCCGAGCGGATAACTATTAATAAAAAAGGCTCATATCATTAACTTGGAATTCGTAGCGTATATATTACCGTGACGTCATTTTGACTTCCTTATGTATTACATTTATTTCTCAAAATGGAATTGAAAATAAAACTAATTTCTTTGAATCGGGTTGAGGGATGAAAAATGAAACCTGGTGTAACCATAATAGTACAAAAACTTGGAAAAATGTGACTTCATGACATTATAAGGCTATCACATTAAAATCGATTTAAGGTTAAAGGATTTTTTTTATAATACTGAAAAAAAATTGCCTTGGACAACATTAATTCCAGAGCAGTGAGAGCCCGAAGCCGCTTGACTTTTAATTCCGGTTTTAATAAAAGTGCAATATATCAAGACAAAGACTTGTTTTGCACTTTTCATGCAATTCTTACGGGACTTAGAAACAAAGTTGAAGGAATTGCATTGCACATTTTAACCCGTTTTTCTCCGCCCCGGTGCCAAAATCATATCTTTGTTTGTTTAATTTACCTACCTGCAAGATCGCAGCGACCATGTTGAAAGCAACAGCAGACAAACATCACCGGGAGCAACAGCCGGCAAATGTAGACGTCCCAGCCATAACGTGATACATTCAACAGCCCAGCCATGTTTGTGATGTCTGATGGTTGTATTTCTATCCGCATTGTTGGCTGATTAATATGTGTAAAGGATCGCGAATGCGCAAATGTTCTACAGCGGTAGCGATATCTCTAATCACCATTTAAAAGAGCACTTTGGGCCAGCAATGCTGAGGCATACGTTGCTGTACATTAAATTGACGTTCAGGTTGACTTCCACCGCCAAGGCAAAACTGTGACAACCAATCGTAGGCGTCCTTACGAAATTAACAATTTGTATTACTATAGTCCTTAGCGCATCGCTTTCTAATCCTGTGGTTCTCAATTCCGACCAACCATTTTTTGGCCTCCCGACCGGAGAAAAAAAGGCATGTTTTTCTATGCTGCCGACCCTGTCCTGAATTTCCTAACTAGAAAACAAAGTGCAGAATTGGGAAAAAACCGCCAAAGTAATATGTATAATATGTTACGTTGCCTTCACAACGGTACGGTGCGGTACGGATTAATCCGAGGTACCAGCACCACGCTGTGTCAACACACGATTTGAAGAACCAGTATGGACAGGCTAAATGTTTACTGCCTATAAAACTGGTGTCATCTGAAAGCGTAATGTCTATGCTTTTCAATGATACCTTGTTTACATTTCCAGGGTCATGCATCACTGAGCCCCACTGTCATTCGATCTTGATGCAAAATTGCAGTGGGTTCACTTTCATGTCAAACACAATAGGCATGGCGCGCATGAGAATAAGTATTCAAGAAGAAGAAACGCGTGCATAAAAAGCAGAAAAAAAAACCTGGTCGGATTGGTTTCAAAACTGGATTTTATTGTTCGTCAATAATTTCTCGTTTTGACCAAGCCACGTTAAAAAAAATTTAACCCGAGGATTAACATTCAAGCCATTTCAGAGACATTTCCGTAATAATAGGCACACGGTGCTTAGTGGTGTTTTTTTTTAAGAAAGTGAACCAACTGCATTTTTGCATCCAGTTTTCAAGACAATGATGATCACTGACTATTACATTTTAAGTTTTTGTACAGCCTAAAGTGTGAATGTTTATGAAATAAAGCAATAGTCGTATTTTGTTGGATATGGCACTCCATACACATACACGAGAGTCTGGGTTATTGTCGAAATAACTAAAATGTGCATTTCATTTTTACTAGAATAAGGTTATACTCGACATGGAATAAACTTCAGATATCAAGTTCCAATTTCAATTTTTTCTAAGTGTTGGCCAGTAATCACACAGTCTTGCTTGTCATGAGCAATTAGTTTTGTTTTACATAATATATTACAAATCTCATTTTTTTTTAAAAATATAACAATGATGCCACAGTGTGAATTTACTCAACTATCCTAAAAGGCAGTTGACAACATTTGCACAAATCTCAAAATGAAATTTTGAAATTATAATGAAACAGCTAGCTTGGTTAATAATAACACCAAACATTCTGTGAAATCGTTTCGCCCGGTATGATATTAATTTTAAGATTTTTGAATTCATTGTGCAAAGATCTTCCGAACAAACGCTCATTGGGTGATTTTTTCTTCAAATAAGCCACCTATTGACCTCTTGCGTACGTTCGGTACACTCGGATTTTATTTCCATTGGATTTTACTAGCAAAACGCATTCAGAAAGCTGCAGCGTGATGGTTGAAAACCATTTGTGTTTTCCCTTGTTTTGTCTATAACACAAAACATTAAACACTCCAAATTCAGAAAATAATGGCAACTGCAAATCTTGTAAACATGTACTACCTTTAACGCTCCATATAACCTAGTAAATGACGTTGTTTAACAACGGCTTACAGCAAAAAAACTCCGTGAAAATCATCCAAAGGAATAGAGAATATATTTGTATTCTTTAATTACAGTAAATAATTAATGGTGAACAAGTATCGTCCACTGTAATTCTTCAGCATCCATTATAAGCTACAAAGGTCATTGTTGAAAACCGCCTCGTGCTGAATATTCATATGTGTTTTAATCGAAGCTACATGTTACTTAAACACCCCTACATATTATAAAATGTTCTTGACATTAATGTATGCTGTCTTGAATTTCTTCCTTCACAAAAAATTAATTATCAGACTCGCCGTGCCAGTGCCTTTATGAAATGTGACGCAATTGCGCTTGCTTGATCTATCGATTCGAGCGCGCGCGTTCTGAAAATAAAGATGCGGTTGTTTAGTACGTTGGCAACTAACTCATTTAGTCTTTACAGCACAGACCATTTCAAAACAGTGCTAACCAATATTAAGTCATTAAGCTTTCGGACTGTGTTACTTCTTCGGCTGTTGTTCTTGCATGAACAGCCCACGAAGATGGGCGTCGCCATGTTTTTTTTTTTTTGGGGGGGGGGGGGGCAAAGCACGTCCCCCACAAATCCTTGTATTTTCTATATGGTATGTTCTCAATTTGTCATTTGTTTTCTTGGGTGGGTGGGTGATATTTACCCACCCCACCCCCATGACACACCTGCCGCCCCACCCCTCCGGTTGACTGAGCAGTGACAAATTTAGAGGCTTGCGCCACTTTTCCAATTGTGGTTTTTGAGGTGTCATTTGTCAAAGAGTGAAAGGCTATGGTTGCCAATTAAGGCAGGTGAAGAAAAAAAGTAATCGCCATGAAAAGTGGCGCAGGCCTGTAAATACAGCCTTGCATAAAATTGGTCACTGCTCAGTCAACCGTGAAGGTAAGGACATGATCAGGGTGTCGTTTTAAAGAGGAGATTCAATCCTAACAGAGGATATCTCCTTTGATTCACATGTGCCCTCCTTCTGTCCCAATTAGCAATAATATCTCGATTTCGTGTTTTTTTTTTCCACCCTGTGTAGAGCACCAAATGCGCCCTAATTTGCATTGGCATTAATATGGAAGGTACACGGCTTTTACAACATATGATACAGGAGAAAAACACCACATGTCAAGCAAATGAGTGCCACTGTGGACAGTAATTTTACTGCACACGACTTCTACTACTAGCGTTGAGGAAGTACTCAAAACTCATTCTGCAGTATTTAAGGATGAGTTGGGTACCTTGAAGGGAACAACCGCCAAGATCTACGTCGACAACCTTGGACGTCAGACCACGATTCTGCAAAGCACGCGGGTCGCGTAGTACCGTACGCCATGCGAACATTGGTGGACAATAAACTTGACCGTCTGCAAGCTGCAGAAATAATGAAACCGGTTGAGTTCTCCGAGTGGGCGCCCATAGTTCCAGTCCTAGATAAGTCCTCCGTGAGAATCTGCGGGGACTATAATAGTTAACGGCGGAAATGCTGATGGGTCGACGCTTACGCTCCCACCTTGATCAGCTTTGCCCAGATGTAGCTCAGCGTGTCATCAAACAACAGGAAAAACAGAAACATCATCATGACAAGCACGCCAAGACACGTGTGTTTGAGATTGGCGACACAGTCCTAGTTTGCAACTTCACTGAGACTGGCTACTTATGGCTACCAGGCACCATTACAGGCTATGCTGGTCCAGTCTCCTTCAAAATCCGCTTAGTTCACAATGGTTGCGAGATCAAACGACATGTTGATCATCTTCGCAAACAAGAGAGCGTACCACATGAACCACATCACGAGTCACACAGTCTGGCCGACGACATTGACTTCGGCTCTGCTATCGCCGTCCCACTTCCAGAACAACCTCCCGTGGAAAATGTCATCCCTCCAGCAACCAACGACCAGCCAGAACCACAAGCATTGGCCGAACCTGAACCGCAGCCTGTTCCACCAGCTGACAGGAAATACGCATCAGGAATGCACCTGATCGCTATGGATATATAAACACTTAATCTGCATGTTCACATAGGTTAAGTACAGCTGCACACATCTGAGGCAGAATAATCCTCAGTGCAGTTTGTTGCAAGTCAGGGTAGTCCACCTCTGTACTTAAAAGTTTATCACGTTTGTTATTTGTTGTAACTTGTAAGTTGCAAAAGTTTTTTAAAAACATATAACAGTTTTCGATTCGGCCTGGATAAAGTGATTTTTATAACAGTTGTGCTAAAGATTTTGAAATTGATCCATAACTTGCTTCACATAAGTTAAAGCTTTAATAGGACAGGTTTCATTATAGGGAGGAGGAGTGTAATATTCCGCCAATCGACAAAAAGGTGAAGCACTTTTTTGTACCTTTCACTGCAAAACCAATTTAGGTATTGCAATACCTGCAAGTTTAGTTCGTAATTCGAAAAAAAAAAATTACACTGATACAAAGTAATGATGATTTCACGATATGTTACATACGTCCACCGGTACAACCAAGCAGTTACTGTCAATTTTGTCAAGAATTTAGACCCATGTTCGAAATAGTTGATACAAATCAACATCCAAATAGACTTCAAACCGGTCTTAAACATTTTTTTTTTAAACCGGCTAAGCACATCACCAAAGAAAATTATATATCTCGAAGTTAATGTAAATTGATCGGCTTTGCTAAGACAATCCATTTAATGAGCTTTTCCCTTCTAAAAAAAAATATGAGGATTAATAATTGCCTAATACACTCGGCAATTTATCTGGTCCTGCAACTTAACAGATGTCGACCGTTATGTACATATAGCGTAGAAATCAGAACAAACGCGAGAACCAGCTCGGGCGGGGTCGGGTTGCCAATAGTCGGCTGTAGAATTTCAACTATTCCAGGCCTAAGGTACATCTGAGAAAGACGGTTGAACTATGGTTAACGACGATTCTCGCTCGAACTTGCTTTAGTGCAATAAACACTGAACCTGCAGTCTTTTGCACAGCTGTGACGCTTGTAGTGATTGTACGCGATCACTCACTCGATGCTGCCTGTTGCCGAACGAGTGAGTGAGCAAGTGATGCTGTTCGAACCTTGGCCAGGTTTCAGGTACACGTAATCTTCTGGATTAAGATTTCCCATCTCGAGATAACCCTGTAAATAAACGAAAAATAAGTATTGAACCATGAAAAAAGCAAACCATATAGGCGCAGTGAATATTAAACTTGTTGAAAGAGTGAAAACCGTGCACACTATTATTTGATTACGAAACACAACTTCGTAAATAGCACTCTTTATTCAAAAAATGTCATTGGAGATCAACTATTTTTGCGGGTTGTTTAGTACCAGAAAGATCTTTAAACCAAGTAAGGTTTTCGGATAAAAATTATGTAGATCACATTTAGGAAAAACGCAATTATCATGCTTTCAACGTTGTTTTGTGCAACTTGATCAGTAGCTTTATAGTAATTAAGTTGGTTTTTCTTCCAATTCGAGCGTGAATTAGGATGAGTCCGCGTATAGTTACATGCCTTTCAAATTGTATTTGTTTTTGTCGTAAATACTGCTTCTAAACAACGAAGTAAGCCCAAACTTTGATAAATCATTGCAGTGTGTCGATCATGAAGTAGAAAAGTTTCAACATGATCGGTCGTAATAACAAGAATGACTTTCCTGAGTGCGATCAGGGTTGTATACAGCGACAGAATGCTTATGGCAGAAAATATGAGAAATAAAATGACAGGTGATCAGTACACCTGCTTGGAAACTGAATACCCACCGCTGCATCTGCAAGGATGTCGTCTATGGTGGTGTGAAGACCAGCAAAATTCGGCCTGTCTTCAGGTTTCTCCTGCCAGCAGTCCATCATTATCTGGTATCTGCAATAGAAATATATTTCAGTGTGTACAGACATGAAAATTGATCCCTGATGATAACGATAGAATAGCAGAAACGGAAGAGGGAAACACTGGTGAGGAAAGAACTGAATTGTGTCAATTGTTGGTTTTCAGAAGAACCTGAGGTGAAATCTCGATTTTGTTTTGGGTCAATATACTGACTGTCATCGAATGGTTGGTCCTGTTTCTGATGATAATTGGAGCATACAGACCAAAACATCTACTAACCAGCCTTCAATCCTCTGAGAACTATCATTTTTACTAAAATATTTCCAACACATTTTTTTCTCCGCAATTTTCTCCCTATTTGTGCACTGGTCTGCAAATGCCACATAATCGCATTTAATCAGATACAACAATATGCTACATACGATTAATACCAACCCCATGCTGACGATAATGATAATAATTACAGGTATTTACAAAGCGTCTTTGCCAATGAAAGGATTCAAAACGCTGTAAACAATTCAACAAGATTGGAAACAAATAAAATCAAAACAAATGTGTTCTTTACGAGTCCCTTGAACTGTTCAAGAGGCGATGCATCCACGATGGTGATGGGGATAGAGTTCCATGTATTTGGCCCTGCAACGGAGAAGGCACGGTTCCCTTTATTCGTGGTGGTGCGAGGGATGAGCAAATTGACTTCCCACGGGAGACCTTGCCGTTCAGGTTTGCTGAGGCCCACAACATCGGAAATGTATGGGAACTTGTTGGGCACGGTTTTGTACATGTTGAGTGTTGTCTTGAGCACGGTCCGTACGTTAATTGATTGAAGCCAGTGAAGTATTTAGAAACTGCAGTGGCAAGAAGCAATATATGGCGCAAAGTGCCTTGCTCTGAGTATTTTTAATAGCTACAAAAAATGGCAACCAATTGCAGATAATTAAGGAGTTACTGACCCAGATCGACCCCATTAGACTTACATGTCGTCGCTACAATGCTCTGGTTTAGGTAGTCGGTAGCCCTGCTTTATTTCATCGATGACCTTTTGCGATGACATGCCGGGGTATGGATGCGATCCTGATGAAAAGGTGATACAGAACGTGAGTACACAGTCAGGCAATAGTTATTGATTGATCTGTCACAACCCCAAATTGGGGCAATTTGGGGTGAAGCAGTCGTGAATTTAAGGTATAGTGACGTCAGTTTGCGTTTTGCTATAATCAAAGATACCGTTTTATAACCTTACATTTTCAAAATGGCATTGAGTTACTATCTGAAAATGTGCTTCAGTTAAATACGTGAATAACAGGCCTATACTGTTTATACCCCTAAAATCTAGTCACTCATTGAGGACGCCAACATTTGGCCAGAAACAAATTGTTGGGTGCGGTTAAGTGAAAAAGTGAGACTCCTAAAATACGAACTTTTTTGTCGTACTGCTTATGCGTAAGTGAACATGATAATGACAGTGGTAAGTCACATGCGACGGTTCGAGTTCATAAGGTAAACAGACAGGATTTCATAGCAGTCCTAATGTAATAATGACAGCGGTATCAAGACATGAGAAAGGAGCCTCCCAAATACACTTCTAAACTTAACGGAGATTCCGACTCACCTAACGTAACCAGTTCCCACAGAAGAACACCAAAAGACCATACGTCACTCTTGCTCGTGTACATATTACTAATCAGTGACTCAGGAGCCATCCAACGAACTGGTACCCTGCCCTGATGAGTACAAATAAACAACAGTCTGATGAAGATCGTTTCCATACTTTGGTTTTCAGAAAGAACGAGTGTTCAAGTGCTGATGTTTATGATCTTATGTTTTCTCTCAAATTGTTTGTTGTTGCCCTCCCTGGCCTCCTCTAGTTTTCGGTTTCGCCATGATGTGACTAGGATCTATTGTGATGATGCGACGAGTGATTTTGAATAGGTTTGTAATCTGGTGGTTATCACGTCTCACTTGGATCGAGGGAGATTCAATACAAGGTTGTTAGCATGTTAATCACACTACTGTTTCTTGAGTATAGTCACCGCAAACAAAATCTTGCACCTCTCCTGGGAAACTCCTCAAGAGATGATATGTGGTTCACTCTCATTGGATTCCAAGCAGTAATTATGGTCGCACAAATGTGAAGTAGAACCTCTCTTTGATTGGATTTTATAGAACACAATGTGGAAATTAGGCCTGATGAAGTTGACAGCCCTTGATGTTTTTGCAAGTGATTGATACATTAGCAGAAGGCGTCGTTCTTTTATTTTTTACTTTTTACTTACGTGCCTCTCTGGAGATTTCATGAAGTGAATATTACTCAACTAAAACTTTCGGAATCTGCGCTGGCTTCCTTTCTTAACTGACTATTTCTGGATGTATCAATGGAAAGCCGCAAGGCGCCAAACTGATTCCTAGTAAGATCCAACCACCAGAGGGTGGCCTCTAAAGTGCGTGTACTAAATGATAATTATGTTGTATACCTGTGATTGCATTTCGTACTGGCTTTTCTCGGCCACGTCTCGAGCCAGTCCAAAGTCAGACACCTTGCATACCAATCCCTCGCCAAGGAGGATGTTACGGGTCGCCAAGTCCCTGTGGATGCACTGAGAAGACAAGACAATAAACTACATCAGACTAGGGACTCAAGATAATGTGTGGGAAAGAATTAATGTGGAGTCTGTGTGATATGGCAAAAAAATGACGAACTTTTTAAATCAGTACCAGTACTTAATGCTACAGAGGCATTGTTACAAGTTTGGTTTGTAGAGCAATCAGAATGAGAGTGAATCTGCGTTGAAGGGGACCCGTCCAGAGCAAAATCATGCTAAGGGGATGATATAGAAATTGGAAAAAAAATAAGTCGTGAGAAATAATCAGTTGAGAACAAGTTGTAAATAATTAACAAGGCGTTTCAGTTGATAACCGGCCTTTTTGTATTGTAAGCAAGCTGCTTTTTTTGGGGGGGGGGAGGGGGGAAGGGGGTTTGGTTGTCTGTTAAGGTTGAAATGTTTGTGTGTGTTGTTTTTTAATTTGCATTTGCTTGGTAGATTAATAATCCTTAATGACTAACTACACACAAAAGCTCCAGCTGGACGCACAACTACTAATCCTGCATCTTGGTAACGAGGCACACTGAAAGTGACGCATTGTCCACTGATTTATCTCCATTGACCTTACATCTAAATGCGATCTCACCTGTTTCGATGCTAGATACTCCATCCCCCTGACCACCTGAGATGCGAAAGTCAGGATCTCAGTCGGTGTCAGGTCCTTCTTCTCCTTGAACTCTTCCTTCTTCAGGTAGAAGGGTTCGGTGCCCGTCCGAATGTGTCGCAGGTAGGTCTGCAGGTCTCTATAGGGAACGTACTCCAGGATTATGTACATCGGGTCTGAAGGGAAAGACATCAAAAATTAGTTAAAAGTACAAATCATCTCGTCTGCATGTATGCCACCTGAGGGCGCTACGCCTTTGGTGAATTCGCAGGAATAGACGAAGAGTTGTCAAAACCGCTCTCACTCACAGCTTGATTCAGATAGTATGCACAAAATAAGACGCCTAGCACGGCAGTCAAGGCAAGTTCACTTTAACTTTGTGGGTATAATAAAGGGTGATTCCAAAAATAAGGGAACCCAAACGGGTGTTCCAATTGTTTTTTGAAAGAATCAGTAACAAAGGAAGTGATATTTCAGCAAAACAAAACTTTTCACATATCAAAAGCACATCAGAACACTCTCATAGCCATGATAATTGGCACTTATCATAACGTTAATTTCAGAAACACCTGCTGCTTTCAATGTAAAAGCCACACGCTTTATAATGTCTTAACACGCTTTATATAGTCTTGTCCTGTCTTCTACTAGGCTACCACAGAGACTTATGGGATTATTATGGCATTTTAGGATACGGCTGGTTTCATTTTTACTGGAATATCACGCATACCATAAATGAGATCCGTGGACAAGGTTAAAAACGGTGTTTGTTTTCCAAATTCCAAAACTGTAAAAGTACATGAGCGATTTTAATGATTTATTTTCACGAAAAGAAAGCTTATTTGTGAGGCTTTCATATTCTAGATCTGGAAAGCGCTAGATGCAGAACTTCTTTAGAAATAGGGGGCATCATTTGGGTTTCCTTTTCTTTCGACTCACCCTGATGTACACTCACTCACTAGGTCGGCCACTTTAAAACATAATTGCAGTCAGGTTTAAACCCGTATTGTTTTAATTTTCAAAACTTATCGAAACTCATCAAATTGGAGATGCAACTTTTTGGTACATTATTCGAATTGTACCTTTATCAGTGCAGTATCCGAGCATAGACAGGACATTGGGATGTCGGTCCAACATGGAATACAGTCGCAACTCTTTCTTGAAATCACTCTGATCGTTGGGTGTAGCACATTCTAAACGGTAGAGGAACAAGTATTTTTGTGTCAGAAAAGTGAAGAAAAAAAAAGGCTGTTTGAGGTGCAATTTTGTAAAAAGGGTTTCGAGGCAAAAATAAGCACAACTATGGGTGTGACTGGTTTGGTGATAATCTACTGAAAGGCAGTGAATCATTTTCGGGTAGAGTACCCGCGAATTTGTGAAACTGTTCTATAAAAGTAAACAGTAAAAAATTGCAGTCTGTGATCGCCACATATGTTAAGCGTACGTGAACATTGTCCTAACTTTGCCAATGGGGGGGGGGGGGAGGTGACGTCGCACTTTTTCAGCGTAAAGTGAACTAAATTTGTCCAACCATCGTCGACGAGCTTGCTTTGACTCGAATGGACCGTTCCGGATATTGCAATATTCCAGCCCCGCTCCGCCCACCTTTGATTCGCGTACACTCTTCACAGTGCTTGTGACTGAAAATTGACCCCGCTATATTGCAGAGTGGTCACCTGTTCAAATGTCGTTATCTCATTAGTCAATGAAAGACTATCAAAGTCCCTCCAATAACTACAAATCTGTGTAGTACTTTAGCCCTATGAAAATGCCGTACCTTTCAACATCTTGACAGCCACCGTCGTATTGGTTCCCCTACGGATGATTCCCTCTGCCTCGGCCTTGTAGACCACAGCAAACGAGCCGCTGCCTAACTGGCCGAGGATGTGTAGTTTGTCCCGCGGGAACTCCTTGGCCGGTCCATTTAATTTCGATGTCGATGCTTGGAGAGTGTCAATCAAATAAACATTCGACAATTTCTGCAAGACGGTAAAACAATCGTCAAAATGGAACGGACATTGTGCTTTTAAACAGTTTCCGAGTTAATAACAAGGTCAGATCGAACTTTCTAGGGCGAAATTGTTGACGACATGCAAGTTCTTACGTTGTGAGTCCGCAAAGCGTCGAACCAATTTCAACTCTGGCATGTGCATTCTCAAAAAAGTGGAAACTGGTCTTGACAAGGCATAATTAGGATGATTTAAAATGTGACAACTTTTGGCATAATCACATAAGATATTGCTTGAAATTCTGACTAGATTTACAAAGGTATCTACCAACAATTAGGTACTCAAAGCGCTGGTAAATATGACTATTATTAAAGACAGGTAATGAAGTTCATGAGAAATATGAGACCCATTATGTAGCACCTTTTAAAAGGTTTAAATGCTGTGTGGCATATTGCAGCAACTGCAAGAATCCCCTTCATTTAACGTTGGTTCTTTAACACATGGGACCAACGGCTTCATGTCCCATCCGAAGGACGAGGCAATAACGGTAAAGCGCCTTGCTCAAGCTGAGAGCACAATCACCGTGTTCCCGTGAGGATTCGAACCCATGTACCACAAAACACGAGTCGAACACCGTAACTATTGGACCACATCACCACTCAAACTCCAACAGTTTGACCCGGAAATCTTGACAGAAGAGTTATTTTGACCCAAAAGAGTAAAAAAAGGGATCGTTGATTCGTTCTGAAAAATTGTCTGAGTTTCTCGTCAGGCTTAAAAGACAGAATCTGTCATTATTTAGAAGCTGCATTTTAGACACTGCATAGTCACCAGTGATTCTTTCATCACTTTTTTTCGGATGTAATACAAGATAGATAAAAACAAAATTAGACGTCTTTAGACACTACCCAGCACCTTTTGGATGAGCTCCTGTCCACACCCTCTATCGACTGCAGACAGCCGGCTGCCTCTGCGCTTGCGCCGTGACCTTTTGACAAAGCAAACCACGACAATGACCAGCACGACAATCAAGACGACGACGACAACGACAATGACAACAACAACATTGATCGTCGTGGTGTTTGCAATAGCGTCTGCAGGAAAAAAACCCAAAAAACATAATCGATTACATTTCACCTTCAATAAGTTTTAAATCTTGGTTTTAACTTCTTTTTAAACTTGTCTTCTGAATGGTTAGAGTACATTTTTTAAAGTCCAAGGTCAAAGTTGATCAGGAATCCGAATCGTATTTGACACGATACTTTAGAGACTCAAAATGAGTTCATGTTCATTAAGTTGGTTATCTCCACGATCGGAGTCAACATACATTTCATTCAACCTAAATCTATCACGATACATCACACATTAAATCTTTCAACATGGAAGCAAAGAGATTTGGATCTTTCTAGAATGAGTATGACGACTAATTATACAAGATTTTTTTACATGAATGCATATCATACTCGGCAATATAAATAGTCAGTGGAAAGACCAAGGTTAGTAAGTACACATGTATGAACAGGAACCAGATTATTTTCATGGCTAAAACAAGCTATGTGGCTAACATACCTAATGCGCTAAAAATGAAGAATATAATGTGTAATAAGAGTACTCAACAAAGTACTTCAAACAGACATACCAATGCAAATGATGTGGGTGATAACATGTAACATTGGTTAAATATAGTGAGTAAGTAATGTATATATATATATTTAAGCTATCGGTGTGTTTTATTTCTGTTCTAACAATATTAGTGTTTTTGAATCAACTAGCTTTTTGGTGGGAGGACATAAGCTTTCTAAGATTACAACTGAGTCTTGCTATCAGAGACAACATGAACTGATTGGAGATGTCGTGAACTTAAAAAGACAGACCGATGGTGATTCGAATATATATATTAAGTACCCACTCAAAACACACAATTCTACGCGAGTGACTTTATATATCGTCACTATATCACAAGGGGACGGACATGTGGATTTTTAAAAAAGACCGTTTTCGAGATAATTGCAAGAGAAGTTTCTCCAATTTTAAAACTGCAAAAACTACTACTTGGTGCCTTGAACAATTTCAAGAAAAGTAACTATTATTTCAATCACTGTTGCACATATTTGTCCCTAGTTTCATAGCATGGTACTCTTTAGTTCTGAAAAGAACTTGTCCTCCTGACGATGACTAAAGCAGGCTAGCCGAAACGTTGAGACCAAAGACAAGTTCTTTTAGAACAAAACTAAAACTAATGAGTGATACGAATACCCCACCATGCAAAGCCTAAAATCTGACAATGTACTCACTTTGGCAATCCCCTCCACTAAAACCGGCGGAGCAGGAACAGTTATAGAAATCACCGGTGGACTGTGGGATACACGTGCCGCCATTTTGGCAAGGGTTTGGGTTGATACAAACATTATCTACATGTATATGTAAAATAAATAGAGATTTAATCACCACAGAGCTTAATAGCAAATCATTTGTGAAATAGCCAATGTGAACCCCCAAACACTTCGGTCGCGTAATTTCTTATTCCCAGGACGGTAGGGACCAAATCATGAATAATTCAGTAATTTCGATCTGGCCAGAATGTTTATTCATGAGAACAGTACAACGATATCAAGAGCATTGTTAGTAGATAGAGTAGCCTATTGGGAACGTGGCGAGATGAGCTATGGAAACAACCATACCTGGTTCGAATCCACGTCGTCGCTGCTCATTTTCGTCGACTATTTTTCTTTTCCAAATTGATCTTTAAGATAATTTTGATTTGAGAGAAAGCGAGAACTAAAACCTAAAGTGTCATGCAATGATTCAAGGAAATGCATGACTTGGCCCTAGCCCTTCTATGAAAAAAAATACGCTCCCGGATCTGACAATATCAAAAGAGGGCGCTCTCCCTGTGTTATGCATATTCATGAAAGTCCAGGGAATTTAGAAAATAAATTATATAACAAGGAATAATAGTGTTTAAATCACCGACGATTGGCAGCTCATTCGTGGACTGGTTGGAAGAAGTCCTGACTTCTAATCAGGTGATCCGAGTTCGAATCCCAGTCAGCGTTTTGCACTTCTTCTTATTTTGCCTTTTCAATAAGTTAAGGGGCAGGAACATTTCTCGCAAGACGTTAAGCCTATCTTGGGTTTGTGTTGTGGAAAACAAGGCATTAGGTGTGCATACAATGGACCAATCAGAAGATGGAAAGCATAATGTCAGTTGGGAAAAAACATTCGCTCCCCGGTCTCTATATACGTACGCCTATTGTGATCAACGAGCCTCTTCATACGTACATTCCAATGAAGTTCAACTGAACTATATTAACCTTTAGGTCTGAATCAAAGAAGTCAGTATTCATTATTTCGAATACAAACTTGGTGTAGTTCAGTCTAGTTTCACTCTTTTCTGATTATGATAGGTAAATTCATTTTACATATTGCATACCTTCACATGTTGGTACCGAGTCACTCCACGTGACGTTGTTGTAGCCAGTCTCAATGCATTCAATGCTGGATGCTCCATGGAGGGTATATCCAGGATCACAGGAGAAATCTACACGAGTCCCGAAGAACTTGTAGTTGATGAGATTGTAAGACAGTGAACGCGGGTTGGTGATGGTGTGGTCTCCGTTGCTGGGGGGTCCTATGTCGTTACTACAAACTCCTTGTGATACTGCAATAAGACAGCATAATACGTATCTTGTAGACTTCTGATGAGGGGATCCATGTTGTTGATGAATCAATCACAATTCCGTTCGCAAGTAAACCGCAAGTTACTTCACAAGTCCGCCCAAAGGTAAAGCCCCAGTCACACATTTACGGTTTTGAGATACAAATATCCACGGTTTACCAACAATTAATCGATCACGATGAACTGTCGAGATTAGTAAAGAAATCGAAGTTCTAAGAATGCTCTACGGTTTCAAAACGGATAGCCGCGACTGATCTACAGTTTCTTTATGAATACACCACGGTTTTGTCAAGAATATGGACGGATTGGTAAAGAATATCGACGGTATTACTGAGAATAATGACGTTAACGTCACGGTTGTCTGTTATTGGACCACGGATGACCAAGTTTCTCCTACGAATAAAGCTTAAACATTTGTAGTACAACTTTAGCAGAACTCTAGAACATCCTGGCAAATCCGTAGGACATTCGTAGCGAATTCGTAGAGATTTCTACCAAGAATGAGCTACGAATCTCCAATATGAACGAATAAAGCCACGAATAACACTACGAATAAGTACGGTTGTCCCACGGATGTCCCACGGTTGCACTACGGATTAATGTTCATGACGGTTTACCACGGAAGTTATGAACAGTTTTAAACTTCCGTAGCCCCTCCACGAATACCCAAGGAAGATGACGGATAACCACGGATGTACCAAGGATGAATACGGTACTCCCACACTTTATCACGAATTTCAAACCGTGGAGATCCGTATAGCTACAAACCGTGAATGTGTGACTGGGACTTAACATTGGAAGAATGTTGACAAAGGAATGCCCTTGTCTCATTTTATTTCAATAGTTTGTGACATGACGAAGGACTGGATGATTTAAGATGGATTTATGAGGACTTGTGATGTACTCAACTGGCTTTGAATGAAAATCCACAGTACATTTGAATGAACTGTAAAATGTGTTCAGTTGGTTAGCTTGTGTACTCACCTCTGTACACGGATAAGAGCCAATCGCCTCCACAGATCTGGTCGCTGTTTCCGGTGCACAAATCTTGACAATCGGAGTCCGGCGCTTGACCGTGTTTATCGTAGTCTTCATTCCCACACCAACATTCGTGTCCGTATTCCATTCCCGCATATTTATACTCGGTAGGTTCCAAACAGTTTCTGAAGCACAACTCTACCGACTGTTCATTGTGATCTAGTGCTGGGCCGACCGATAGGGAACGATTTTCAGCGTCCCCAAAACATCCCAAATAACCAGGAGCTGGAAAAACAAAACAAATTTGAAAACATAACTCGTATCAAACCTACCCAAAGCCAAGGGCGGATGGGGGGGGGGGGGGCAAAGGGGGCCATGGCCCCCAAAAAACGAAACCAATTGTTTGTTTTTCATGTGACGTCGCAATAAAGGCAGGAAATGAGTACACCACCATCTTTTTCTCAAAAAACATTGGCTAAAGTGGTCAGAAATTGCCTCAGATCGCACCACAGAGCATCAAGAATAAAAAAAAATTTTCGGGGCCCTTAAGCGGGCCCCGCACCCCATGCCGTAATTTTTTGACCCACTTTTTGGGAGACAAAGCAATTTTTGTTTGGCCCCCCCCCCAAAAAAAAAAATTGGGCTCCGGATCCGCCCTTGTCCAAAGCATACATAAAGTTCGTCAAAATGTCCTAAAGGTGTCAAACGAATAAATACTATACTTAAGATTGGGCCCTAACTACATATTACTTTATTTACCAGCAATGTCAGATGCTGATCGTATGATCGAGCTACGGAACCCAAACCTCAAAAAATATGTTTCTTATTTAAAAATAAAAAAAATTATGTAGCACCAAAAATAATATATAATGACTGGAAAGCCAATTTCATCAGCTACTTTTGGTTAAAAAAAATCTGGAATTGCTCAATCCGTTCAGGGAATATTGCTATTTAAACGCAATGACACTAAAACATGTTTCGTCCAAAAACAAAATATATTAAGTAACACTTAATGAAATGTATGGATGAATGGTAATTCATTTGAGTGCGCCACAACCCAACAAGAGGTGTGGGATTCACGTGGCACTTACAAAAGAATCACAGGGAACAAAGCAGAAAGCTGAATCCATTTAGTACGTGGTTACATAACCATGAAAAATGCAAACCATAAGTACAATGGAAAATGCACTGAGGCCTGTACAACCAAGACGTACAGGGAGACATGTGAAGCTTCAGTAATAGTTTAGCCTGCAACAAGACAGCAGCCATTTTCTGCTTTGCAGATTCAAATTGTCACCGCCGCCGCCCCAGCGTCCACTCACAAAAGCTATTATAATCAGCATTACCGGGGCAGGAGTTCTTAAGGTGTAAATTTATAATGAATTAGGTTGCCATGAGTATGCGAGGAAAAAAAAGATCAAAAGAAATTACAGATAAAGGTTAACTTAAATATTATGTTAAAACTCACGACAATAATTACTTGATTTAAAACGTTTTGGTAGTTGACAAGGCATAACGTCAACAGGTCTTTAACCGAATAAAATTGTCATCTGGTATTTTCAAACTATCAAGATGAAAGTAAACAAAAGAAACTTGATGATTAACAATGGTGAATAATCTTATAAATCAGATTAAAATATGTATGTTTTCTATGTATTAAAAAAAGTTAAAGCAAAAGATGTGACAACATTAAGGTGTTAATGTAGTAAAAGTTATATTTAAGAATTATGAAAGGACTCCTTAACCCCACAAGTCATGCTGTAATTCAAAATGAATTATTTGGTGAATAAATGACCAGAAAGACATACATTTATGTATTGCATTGCAGTGCTAATGCAGTTATCACCAAGGGCGGATCCAGGGGGGGGGGGCAAAGGGGGCCATGCCCCCCCCCAAAAAAAAAACACCCCGAAACCAATTGTTTGTTTTTTATGTGACGTCGCAATAAAGGCAGGCAATGAGTACACCACCATCTTTTCCTCAAAAAACATTGGCTAAAGTGGTCAGACATTTCCTCAGATCGCACCACAGAGCATCGAGAATCCAAGACATTTTCAGGGCCCTTAAGCGGGCCCCGAACCCCACGCCGTAATTTGTTGACCCACTTTTTGAGAGACATTTTTTTTGGGGGGGGGGGGGGCCCAAACAAAATTGTGTTCTGAAACCGCCCTTTGTTATCACCGTACATTGGGCTTGAAATTCGACTCTTTCTTGGTAAAGAATATATATATCATATCATATATACTGCACAGTTGTGGGTTTTACAAACTCGTTGACTTTCCCGCCAAAGTTGATATAGTTTGTTTGCTTGGTTAAAATGGTTCATCTTCTTCATCACTGCACTTTTCTTCAATATGTCAGTAAACTTCTGTCCAATAATATGTTCTTCGTGTGTAAATACAGTCTATACACATCTACAATGTCGCCCTCTATGGTATTTTGTTATTACGGATACTCCAATTTTTCATAGTACATGTATACACACACAAATCAACTGCATTGCTATTTCTATTTTTAGGTTTATTGTTTCAAATTTCAGGTAGTTTTGGCCAAACGAAATTTTTGAGACATTGAAAGGAAAACATTTCGTAAAAATAAAACTTGCCAGCCATTTTGAAAAGCAAGATGGCTGTCAATCATTGGTTTTCTGATGAAAATTAATGCTGTCAATTTAAAACCCTTGGCGTAAAGCCACCAAGATTGATTTCATAATATGACTTTCACAAGTTGACTTATAGCCGGAAATGATCCTAACATGGCGTCCATTTCGAAGTTCAAAATGGCCACCATCTGCAACACTTAATATTTTGCCAACATGGTTTTTCTTGTTCCAGGGGGTCTAATTAAGGTTTCTAGCTAGGCGGCGTTTTCGAATCATTCGGTGTCTATGGCACTTAATTTCATGCCATGATATTTCCCTGTGATGCATGGAATTCCAAACGGCCCAGAAATAAGCTTTGACTTCACAAGCCATCGATCCGCTCCAGGCCGGCTATGTGTGTGGAACCTGTACAGGTGAGACATTCACCACGTACATCGAGACATGTAAATGTTAGGTACGTGTAATATAAATATTCATATCCTCCTGATACTTAGCTAATCAGAGTGCTCCGTTCAACTTTTGAAACATTGTCCATGCCTTGTGTACAAGGTGCACGTAGGTGCAGATTATTGAAGTCGGTATTGGAATCGCGTCGACGAACACGCGTATGGGTCTGAAGATGCAGGAATCGTTGTAGACTGTCCCCCCCCCCCCCGCTAAATATATGGAGACCGGTAGCTAGCGTGCATTATGATTGTTTATTTTCAAATTACTGTTCAGCTCTGTGCATGGACGAAAATTCAACACACGATTATCGAAAAACTCACTTTTGCCTTACCACACAAAAAGTACGCAAAATCATCAGTGTCTCCAAGAATTTACCTGTTTTTAACTGCATAGGTTTTAAATACGGAACAGTAATTTCTCTCTCTCTCTGTATTAATATTTGCCAGAGACACTTTCGAATTCATCCAAAAATCAAAGGTCATCGCTTCCGAAATTGTACAATCGTGGTGCGGCTATTGTCGTTTTTTTTGTAATAGGCCGGTTCGGGCAAACGTTACCGTTGTGTTGTTCAATTCAGGAGGCGGGATTCAGACCTGTAAACTTCATGCATATATTTGCACACATCAGGAGGGATGTCTCCTGATGTATGAAAGATTCACCGCTAGCTACCTGTCCCCATATTTGAAATCCAAATGACAATGGGACAGGAAATCAGACTAGATTCGTTGCTGTATGTGCATTATACACTGCGCTTCACGTACAACTGGGACGGTGTGCGGTTGTCAGCTTCGGTGGTAAGGTGCGCTGCGCTGCGCGGCCGCGGCGCAGGCGGACTAAACCCGGCAAAATGCCGACTTGATTTCAAGTCTACCTACCAGCACACTCTCCAGACGTGTACTCTTCCACCTCCACCTCGGCAAGTTGCAGATATGCCTGTGTCGCATTTACACCGGGCATGGAAGTATTGATGTCCAAGCTGACATACCTAGCCAGCCGCGGTGGCTCGCACAGGACCGTGATCTCGGCTCCATTCTGAGACTGTTCGCTGGTAGCCGGTGAGCCGCACGGCAGGTTCTCGGCGAAGTTGGGGCTCAGTCCAGCTCGGGCTATCGCCCCGATGAAACGAAAACCTAAAAAAAGAGGAAAAAAAAAACAGTTCAACTTTATTCGTCACCGTTTTCACGAAGAGCCACATATGTCGATTTTGAAGAAGAAGCGTTTTCGAGATAATCGCACAAGAAGTTTCTCCTATTATAAAACTGCAAAAAATACCACTTAGCAACAAATTTGTGAAGCAAGGACCATCACACTATTCTGTGTGAGCTTAGTTTTTACATGAACCCAGTAATAAGACTTAATTCAGCAGTAAATTAGTGAAAATTAATTAGTAAAGATATGTGGCTCTTCGTGAAAACACAATTCAGGTTTCCGACATATTGGCCCTTTCTGTTCAATGTGTATTTCCATAGGCGCGCGTGAGTACTCCCGCTCAGCTGAAAATGTAACAAAGATATGTGGCCCTTTGTGAAAACGCAAATCTCATTTGACCTACTTTTACGTATTTCCGTGCAATGGGTTTTGTACGCGTTCAAAGGGCCAAAATGTATGTGGCTCTTCGTGAAAACGCAAAATTCAATTATCGAGATTTTGGCCCCTTGCAACATTAATGTAACTTGGAAATTAATGATGTTTTGCTTACAGAAACATGTCAAAATGGTTAAGTACATTACTTTAACCCTCCGACGCAGAAACTAGCCCTTTTGGGGACCCAATTTGGTTAATTACCTTAATAAAAAAAAAAATTCAAACCAATTCTGGTGATCTTGCATCTAATCCTAGCCAGAGGCACCCACTACGGATATATGCAGTCACCTTTAGTATGTGACCCCGGGTCAGGCATATCTGAGCCTGACAACCTGGGCTGCCCATATACACGTGCACAAAACAAAGTCACTTGCGGGTAGCCAAGTGCACGTCTTGACCACAGACTATGTATACAACATCTGTTTCCTGTCAATGACCTCCTTATTTATAGTCTACAGACATGTCGAGATTGTATACATATAGATACAGCGTTGTGTAGCCTCAAACCAAGGCGCTAAATGTCTGGGTCCCCGGAGGGACCCCTTACTGTAAGCGTGTTAGTAAATGGGCTTTCTGCGTCGGAGGGTTAAAGCAAAATATTGAAAAAAATCAAAATCGAAAAAATGGTAATTTTTGACATATGTGGCTCTTCGTAAAAACAGTGACGTATTATGTACAGACATGGTTATCAGAAAGTCTGATATATATATGATATTTATAATTATCTCTGGATGATTCTAAAAAATCTCCTGATTTAGTTTGTATACATTACAGATTATTTTGAATGCATATACATTTTGAAATTAGTAAAGGTTGCAATATCAAAGTGACTGGTCTTTAAGCAATTTTACCACCGTAATCTTTTCGGAGAGTGACGTTGATTCTACCCAAGCAGTGCTTGCTACCTAGGTCCAACAGCCACCAAGGATGGGGATCATTAGGACCTGAAATGTAAGAAAGGAAGAACATGTTTTCAATTCAAATGTACTTTGTGTATTTTTAACAACTGCGAACAACTGTGGTGACGTTGGTGCTGAGGGTGGTGAAAGCTAACAATGGTGAAAATGATAAAGATCGTGTCAGTTGGGATGCAAGGCGATGGGGACGGAGAGGCAATGGGGAGCGATTGGGAAGGGGAGGTACGTGGTGATGGACATGAGGTGCACGTGGGTATGGGACCTGGGATGGCAGGGAGGGAAGAGGGCATTGGGATAACGATCAGTGGGTGATGGGGATAATAATGGGGATGGGGACGAGGATCAGATTGGAAATGGGGACGGAGAGGCAAGGGAAAGGGATTGTGAAGGGGGATGGTGATGGACAGGAGGTGCACGTGGAGAGGGGACCTGGGATTGCAGGGGAGGGAAGAGGGCATTGGGGGTAACGGTCAGTGGGTGATGGGATCAGTATAGGGATGGGGACAGGGGCCAGTATTGGGATAGGGACGGGGGTCAGTGTGGGGATATGAACGGGTTCAGTGCAGTGTGGGGATATGGACGGGGATAAGTTTTGGGATAGGGACGGGGATCAGTATGGGGATGGGGAAGAGGATCAGCCTGGGATGGGTATTAAGTATGGGCATTCGGAAGAGGAGAAGATTTGCTTGATCAGGTGAGGGAATGATCAGTGAGGGAATGGGGACGGAGATCAGGATGGGCATGAGGACGGGGATCACATTGCGGTCTGGACGGGGTTCAATATTGTGGTAGGGACGGAGATAAGTGTTGCGATGGGTATTGGACGGGGACAGGAAAAAGTATATAGGGATTATAATGGGAATTAGTGTGCTGATTGGATCGGAACAGGTTCAGCATGGGGAGGAGATATCAAATTACGGAGATGCGCACGGAGATCAGTGTTTGGATGGGGATGGGGATCCGTATAATGATAGGGGTGGGGATTAGTATAAGGATGGGGATCGGATTGGTATGGAGACATGGATCGGTATGGGGAAGGAAATGGATCAGTATTGGGATGCGAAGGTGGATCAGTATGGCGATAGGAACGGGCATCAGTATGGGATTGGAATGGCATCAGTATGATAGTGACATATTTCAGTATGGGGAGGGGATCAGTATGGAATCAGTATGGTCATAGGGCGGGAATCAGAATGTGGCCGGGGTCTGCATGGGTTTGGGGTGGAGATCTGAAAGTGGCCGGGGATCAGTACGGGGGTTCTGAATGCATTATATCATATCAAGGCCTTTTGCTTTTGCTTTCTGTGAATTGGCCTCCATACGTTTGTTATTTATCTTCCCAGTAATTATTCTTTGTCCATTTTCTCTGCAATGCACGGAAATAAGTGTATATTGAATTGAATTGAATTATTGGGGGATTTGGTGGCTGGACGTAGGCGTGGGGCGGGACTGAGGACCGAAGAGATTGTTGAGGGTGCAAATGGTGGAGGGTGTTGAGGGTTGGTAGCGTGACATTAATTTCGAGAATGACGCAGGTGACGTGGGAGACGAATTCGACGATGGCATGAAGTTACAGCAAATGCGGAGGTATATTTCTCATTGTTCTTACCAGTGTGCGTGAAGGAATATGTCCATCCATCGATGGCCAAAAAAGAAGGGTAAGGCGAGCCCTCAAATTAGAATCCCTCCCCGGACCGTTCGGGGTTGAGCCCGCCCAGTATGTTGAAGGGATTGGGACCTTGCATGGAACCGATCGGCCTGGATTAACTCCACCAGGCTTCTGCACCATGGCTCTGGCTCATCACAAAGGAACCAATTTGCGACGGGCTAATCCTCCAGTAGGCAACAATGACTGTGATGAGCTTCATAGAAGTTGCTGCTGGTAATCCGAGCTGGCTGAATAATCCTCCAACAATGGCCAGACTTCAGTTTATGTTGCCTATTGTCTAACCCTGAGTCACCAGTTTGGACTGATTGGGGCGTCACGCTTCAGTGACCGGGTGGCTTCTGGCTTCGTACCGATTGGGGTGAAAGAAATTAGCATACCGGACCCGGTACCCGAACGGTCTGTTATCTGATGGCTCGCCTAAGGAAGCCATGTTGAGCTCTGTGATGTACTTTTCCCATAAACAGGGAGGGCTGAAATGAATCAGGATTTTGATAACAATTAAAAGAATGACCACTACAATTTGAATTTGAAACTAGAAACGATTGTGTTTGAGGACAAGCGCCAGCTGTTTATCCTGAAACGACTCAGTGACGTGACGAACACACCATGAAGTCACTTCAAATTTCATCTATATTTTTATCTCGGTATAAAGTTACAACCAAATCGAACATTATAGTTCTGTAGATATATGCCATTAATTGAAAACATCATACTGAATTCACTTTAATTTCCATCTATGATACATTCCGGTATGGGCACATATCAAGTTGTCCATTTAATATGACATCACATGACATGTGATGACTTCATGAGGACGTCACTTCGATTTTCATCTGAACCACACCCCTGTCTTTGTGCATACCAAGTTTCAACCCAATCGGAATGGTACTTCAGAAGTTATAACAGCTCGAAACAAAATGCCCTTCTAATATGAAGTCATGTGACACACGATGTTGTCATCAGGGTCCATCTCTGGTTGGTGGTCTAGGTATCTGGTAAGTCTCAAGTCAATCAGACATATCGTCACCGACACCACGAAGTGACCTTAACCCCCGCGAAGTGGAAAATGTGTGTTTTGAGATACAAGCGATTTAAGTTGGCGATGTTTTGAAACGGTGATCTGAACATCGTTTTAGCCTCAAAATACATATATTTATACATTGTCTGAAAGCTGGGATCTTGAATGTCACGTTAATGTATGATTTTCATTGAAATAAATTACTATTAATGAGTTATCAAACTAATTAACCATAACGTCACTTCGTGAAAACTCAAAATTCAGATTACGCTGTGTTCGAGTTTTCACGAAGTGACACTAACCACGTGTTTGTATTAGCTAACGGGTTAGCGCTACTTCGTGAAAACGCCAGAAGTGAGGCGCGCGTATCACGTGACATTTGTGTCACTTCGTAAAAACGCAAAACCCGTTTTTGACGCGTAGTGTGCAGGCACTTTACACGCGAAAGAATGGTATAGTACACTTCGTGAAAACGCGTACACTTCGTGAAAACGCATTTTCTGGTTTTGACCCATTAAGTTGTAAATGTTAATTAATGTTAATTAATGTTTTGACAAAACTAATTAACTTTGTGCTTAGTAACTTCTTGAGGTGATAGATTATGTGTAATTAATCACAAATCAGGAAAAAAATCGAAATCGCAAAATATCGATTTTTCGAGGTTAGTGTCACTTCGTGGTGACGGTGACGATATGAAAGTGCCAAAGTGTATGGCTTGAAGAAGAACGTGTACACAATATTGTGGCGAAAAATACATCTTTAATGTGAGGTTACACTGCGCATTGTAAACTACATGGATGGGCCTGATGCACAAGTTGGCCATTCCCTGAATGCATTTCATTAAGTGTTATCTGTTGAATTGGATGGTGCCGGACTCTTTATGCAGACATGATGCAGCCTTATTTACTGTCATTTTTTTAGTCTGGCTTTTAAAATGTGTATATTACAAATTTTAAATTATTCATTTAAAGCAGACTGGAATTAATTATTAATTCACTTTTTTCATTTCTCTTCACAAGTTCCAAAAATTAAGATGTAACCTCAATTTCAATTCAACAGGGCCGACTGGTGCATAAGGCCCAATAGGCCTTTTCTACATCGTGTCAATGCCGGTGTGGACGGACATTCTGTCCCTGAAAAACTTTGCCTGGTTTGTCTACGAAATTGTGTCCCTGACACAGTTTTTCCTAGGTTATACTGTCAACCTTATAAAACACATGTCTTTCAATGAACAGATTAGCAATTTGCCTATATCGCCTTGACCGAGGAGATCGCAATTACACAAAGCAAATTTTGCAGGTAGGCTGTAAAGTTCTGTATTTATTGGAGCGTGACCTTGGAAATACCAAACGACTGTTGTCACCTACCAGCATACTCACCAGACGTGACGTTTTCCACCGCCACCTCGGCAAGTTGCAAATATGCCTCTCTCGGATCTACACCGGGCATGGAGGTATCGATGTCCAAGCTGATATACCTAGCCGTCCGCGGTGGCTCGCACAGGAACGGGATCTCGGCACCATTCTTAGACTGATTGCTGGTAGCCGGTGAGCCGCACGGCAGGTTATCGTTGAAGTTGGGGCTCAGTCCAGCTCGCACTATCGCCCCGGTGAAACGATAACCTAGAGAGGAAAAGACAGTTCTACTTCGTAAATTACAGTTTCGCAAAAAAAAAAAATCTTTCTAAAAAAGAAAACCTAAATGAATAATAATTCGTAGGGTGAAGTGTATGAAGAACATTTACCCCCGCTATCCTCTCGGAGTGTGACGTTGATTCCACTCAAGTTGTGATTACTACCTAGGTCCAGCAGCCACCAAGGATGCGGATCATTATCATCTGGAAGGAAGGAAAGGAAGAATATTAAAGGGTCCATGAAGTGAATATTTCTTAGGAACTTGTTTTGTGCTCCTTTCTAATCCTCTAAATCCCGGTTCATATACTTCATGCGTAATGCAAATGCGAAGCGAATTTGACGTCATGAAACATTCGCTGCGAAGTTTGCCCGAGTTGAAATATGTTTTACAAATTCGCAGCGTAAATAGTTGCAATGACGGCACAATTTGCGTTCGCTTTTGCGCCTAGTATGAACCGCGCTTTATGAGTTTGAAAACTACGTGACGTTCCTTTTTGGTTACTTTTACTAAAAAGAGTACCTCTCTCAACGTCTTAAATTTTCCATGCTTGTCCAGACAACAAAGGGTGATTTTGCCGTGGTGTTCTTTCAGTAAGACACTGTCCATATTATGTGTTTTTTTCTGCTGAAATTATGAACATTTGTTCATTGAAGACATTTGAGAGAAAGGTTTGCTCACTGGCTTACTGCCATGAACTGACACATCAACTCTTTCGCTACGGCGAGCCGCTGACAGCAGCACACAACAATTGTACAAGTCGTACGGAAAGCCGCTGGCAGCGGCTCGGTGACGTTGCCGTGAATAAACAGGGTACCCCCATGACGTGACCTTATCTACATAATTTATACCGTATAACCTCTGACCCTAGTTTGAGCCGCTGTCAGCGGCTTTCCGTCTCGCCGGGGTCTGCTGCAGGTTATTGTGAGCAGTCTGTTTACAGAGATACGTTTAAAGATGGCGGCGTCTATATCGACACACGGCAGAATTTCCAGCGATTTATTAAGTCCAAACGGGACGAAATCAGTAAATTATCATTATATCCGAGCGGACGGAGAGGCAAGGGCAAGGGATTAGGAAGGGGAGGGTGGGCATGAGGATGGACATAGGGATATCATGGGAGCAGTGGCGTACGCAGGATTTTTTCAAGGGGGGTGTTTCAAAATTGGATGTCATCATTTATGACGCCAGAAATGAAGATGGTAAATATTGTGTTGGCGCCAGAAATAAAAGATAGTATCAGTGGGCTAACTTAATGCTAAAATAAAAGTCGGGAGTTTGTGTTGGCGCCAAACATAGTAAATCGAGAAAAAAAACCAACATGTTCTGTGTCTTTAGAGTATATGATGAACATGAGTAAAGGGGTCAATGTGGGCAGTCCCCTCCCTCAACAGCATTTACAAAAATAATCATAATAATTCAAGAAAAGTGACACGGGCTGCGGAAGTGCTAGGATCTGTTCTTGTAATTGGCTAAAATTACTTAGCTTCGTCCCTGGATCTCATGATTCTCATCCGTTGGGAATCTAATTCTTTGTGTAAGCCGCCCCCACCCCTAAGGCCAAACTCCAGATACAGGATACAAATGCGCTCTGGTCACAGGGGCGGATTCAGACTGCCATTTGCCCGGGGGGGGGGGGGGCTAGAATTGTAATGAAGGGTCCAGGACCTGCGAGCGCGCAGCGCGAAGCCCCTACGGCGTGGGGTCCGGGGCCCGCTTTAGGGCCCCGTGAAAATTTCGGATCGTAGATGCTCTGTGGTGCAATCTGAGGCGATTCCTGGCTACTTCCACCGTTTAGAAAAAGTTTTAAACATCGAAAATTCCATTTAAATTTGTTATTTTTTTTGTTCTTTATAAAGTTTGTTATGTACTCAAAGTTGAGAACCATGTTCCATCTCCGTATTTTTTTCACAATTTTCTATTTTGGAAAGGGATTTAGGCCACTTGTAGTCCGAGCCTCAGCCATTCGCTGCTGAAGGTACAAATAAGGCGGGGGCACCGCTAGGGTGAAATTAGCATAGAGGGAATTTGGCCGGAGGACTAATACGAGCGCGGAGCGCGAAGCACTTACGGCGTGGGGTCCGGGGCCCGCTTAACCCTAAAGGGGCCGGGTAATTTTGACCATCTCTCAGCCGGGGGGGGGGGGCGGATTCCGCCCCCCCCCCCTAAGATCTCGGCCATCGAGAGACGAACAATTTTGAAACTCGGCACATGCATAGAGCAACTCTTCCTAAACATACCCAAGAAATTTCATGACTATAGGTCAAAGGGTTTTGGAATTATGGCTAATTAATTATTCATATGTACGAATGGCAATTTTGCTCTGTGTACACGACGTATATGCGAAAATTCAGTTTTCACGGCGCGTAGCGCCGGAAAATTTTCGTTACGCGGCAACCCGTTGTCCGATTTTTATGTTTTTGGTATCAAAAGATGCTCAAAGCTCGAGGCTAAAAAGTCATAACAGCTCGGGTCGCGAAATATTTTTTTTAGAGGCTATCACGGAAAATGTTGAGGGGGGGGGGCGGATTCCGCCCCTCCCCCCGGCCCCTTTAGGGTTAAGGGCCCCGGGAAATTTCGGATCGTAGATACTCTGTGGTGCAATCTGAGGCGTTTCCTGGCCACTTGCCCCTGATTTTTTTAGCAGAAGTTGTTAAAATTGAGGGGATATTTTGTTTCATTTGTTTCAAATACATATAGGCCTATATACTCTTGCTCTTATAAAGTGTCTTCTGTATTCAAAGCTTAAAGTTGAGAACATGCACATAATTTGTAATTGTTCCGCGCTCGGTCACATAACTCTCTTTTCCCTCCATATTTTTACATGGCAAAGGGGGGTGTTTAACAGCCAAAACACCCCCCCCCCCCTGCGTACGCGCCTGCATGGGAGGGAAGGGGCACAGGAGTGAGAGCAATTAGGATGGAGATGGGGATGGAGGTGGGGATGGGGATGGGGATGGGGATGGAGATGGGGATGGGGGTGAGGATGGGGATGGAGGTGGGGATGGGGATGGAGATGGGGATGGGGATGGGGATGGGGATGGAGATGGGGATGGGGATGGGGATGGAAATGGGAATGGGGATGGGGATGGGGATTGGGATGGAGATGGGGATGGGGATGGGGATGGAGATGGGGATGGGGATGGGGATGGAGATGGGGATAGGGATGGGGATGGAGATGGGGATAGGGATTGGGATGGGGATGGGGATGGGGAAGGGGATGGGGATGGAGATAGGGATGGGGATGGGGATGGGGATGGGGATGGGGATAGGGATGGGGATGACGATAGGGATGGAGAAGGGGATGGAAATAGGGATGACGATAGGGATGGGGACGGGGATAGGGCTGGGGAATGGGGATGGGGATTGAAATAGGGGTGGGGATGGGGATGGAAATGGGAATGGGGATGGAGATGGGGATAGAGATGGGATGGGGATGGGGATGGAGATGGGGATAGGGATTGGGATGGGGATGGAGGTGGGGATGGGGATGGGGATGGGGATGGGGATGGGGATGGGGATGGGGATGGGGATGGGGATGGGGATGGGGATGGGGAAGGGGATGGAGGTGGGGATGGGGATAGGGATGGGATGGGGATAGGAATATGGATGGGAATTGAAATAGGGGTGGGGATGGGGATGGGGATAGGGATGGGGAAAGGGATGGGGATGGAGATAGGGATGGGGATGGGGATGGGGATAGGGATGGGGATGACGATAGGCATGGGGAAGGGGATGGGGATGGAAATAGGGATGAAGATAGGGATGGGGACGGGGATAGGGCTGGGGAATGGGGATGGGGATTGAAATAGGGGTGGGGATGGGGATGGGGATAGGGACGGGGATAGGGATGGGGAAAGGGATGGGGATGGAGATAGGGATGGGGATTGAGATAGGGATGGGGATGGAAATGGGGATAGGGATGCCTGGTTTGCCAACATAATGAGGATGGCAAACAGCAGAGTTTCAAAACGAGTCCTGATGAAAACAGTGACTGGGAAAAATAGACGGGATAGGCCAAGGAAGAGATGGGAAAATGACATCATGGATAACAGCGCCCTCTACCTTGAACACCGCAGAGCGCAAGACAAACAGGAACGGAGAGCGAAAGCTGGTGGAGCCAACGTCCTTCGGGACATGGTGCAGGATTAAATTAGATTAGATTAGATTAGTATTTATAAATTAAAAGCAATTATGTTTTACATCTCTTTTTTCTTTCCTGCCCCCTTTTCTTTTTCTCCCGTTTGGGGTTTCTTTTCCAAGGGGAAGCGCCCCTTGCCCCCCCCCCCCCCCTCCCCTTTCGCGACGCCCATGGAAGCAGCAGAAGGAAGTGTTGGTACTGTGTCATTGATTTCAAGAATGCCGAAGGTGACTAGAGAAACGAAGTAGATGATGACATGGGGTCACAGCAAATGAAGAAGTATTTCCCAATGTTCTTACCGGTGTGCGAGAAGGAATTCGTCCGTCCATCGATGGCCTGATAAGATTGATGAGGCGACCATTCGGTGCTCTGTGACGTATGTTTCCCATGAATAGGGAGGGCTGAAAATAAATCAGGGATTTGATAACAACTTACAATGGACAATAGCCAAGGTATTTTACCCTTTCCTTTTATGAAAGTCTTGCTGGAAATAACATTAAAAAACATAACATTTCAAAGTCGTGAACCGCCCCCCAAAAAAACCCAAAGCACATGCCTTCTTCCTACCTCTGACGCGACCCCCCCCCCCTCCACGACATCTGAATGTGGTGCAATCTATGACGTTCTGGACTTAACTTCTTTTAAAAACAAGAGTTGCTACTCTTTCAAGGGGTAAAAAGCTGCAACATAGACTGACAAATTCAACTGAAAGCTCAAAAACTAAATGCAAACTCGAAAAATCGACCACAAAATAGAATTTATCCTTAAATTTTACATGTCCAACAAAACAGTGCACATGCATATGTAGAAGTTTTGCATACAAGTACCATGGGGCAGGTGGGTGAATGTACATGTGTAATGTACATTGTACTTGCACAATTTCTTTGGTGTAATCGAAAAAAAAAAACTAGTTGTCCAAATATCGGCTTCCGATGACGAGAAGAATTATTTTTCTTTAAGCCAACCAAACTATTTTGCAATAAACATTTTGGTAAAAGTCCGTTATATTTTGTTTCGGAACTTATTTTAAAACAATAGTGCAGACTACGAGTGGCGCAAGTTGGGCCATTTTTGGTTCAATTTGCCTGGCGTCTAAGATTTCACATGGTCTGAAGTTATAAATATTCTGTTTTAAGGCTAATGTAATCAAAGAAAATTTTCAAGCCATTTGAAGCAAATATGAAATATTAAGCAAATTCAAATTTAGCATGATTTTGTACAACGGAAACAACATTTTAAATTAGCTCAACTTCCCACCCTGTGCACATTCTAACAAAAGTGGCCATTAATGCACATCAAAAAGGAATTAATGAAGGAGGGCAAAACAGAGGGCAGTATTTTAATGCTGTTCCAACTCAAAGGCCAGATAGGTGGTTCAAAAGTGGCCATCAACTTTTCAGCCACCAGAAAATACAGATTGCATATTTTGTCACAATGGTTCCAAAGTAGCCATCGGCTTTAATTTTCTGCTTGCACCTACAAACTGATAACTTTTCCCAGTTACCCTGCCTCCTCTTTATTATGATTATGTGTGAACAAGCCTTCATCTGCAAACAGGTTTGACGCGCGTGGACGTATAGCCGCTCTTTACAGCGCTCTCGTCGTTTGCTATTCTGACACTTTGTACATCGAATGAATAGTTGCACTGGACACTAATAATTCTATGTTACAACTGATGATGTAACAACCAGCGGATAATGTATCACCATCCGATAATGTCACACAAATTGACCGATGCTGTATCACTAACCGATAATGTAACAGAAATTGACCGATAGTGTAGTAAAAATGTACTGCACTATCAGTTGATTGTTGTTACATTATCGATCTTAACCGGTCGGTGATCATTATCCGTTGTAAGATGGAATTTTGCGTCGGGGTTATATAAATCAAATTAGGTTTTGCCCGTCGGTGAAGGGCAAACCTAATTTGATTCATTATCCGTTGGTTATTACATTATCAGTTGTAACATCCTATTCCAACCAGCAACATTCTAATAGCGAGGCATTAACGCCCTTTCCTTATAAACAGATGAATAGAAAAGAAAGGGCTTGTATACACAAGAACCACACATACGACATCTTTTATCTACGTTTTGCGGGACCCTATATGGCCCGGTTTAATTTTGACGTCTCTTCTCCTTCGTAGGTGAAAAACAGTATGCATGTACATGTAAAAAAGCAATGTGATGAAGAAAACTAGAGAAGAATACCGTTAATACCCCTTACATTGGTTTCTTGAAACGCTGATTTGATAGGGGCTGACATTATAATGCGGCAAAAACCTGGGCGATTTATGCGGAAGCCTAAACAATTATCCCGGCCGACTCTTCTGTCCAGGTGGAATAGTAATCCGATCGGGCTGAATGCTATTTCGCATGGGCGTATTACTATTATGATGGATAACGGTTCCACCCGAGCGGATAACTATTGATAAAAAAGGCTCATATCATTAACTTGGAAATCGTAGCGTACATTATATTACCGTGACGTCATTTTGACTTCTTTATGTATTAAATTTATTTCTCAAAATGAAATTGAAAATAAAACTAATTTCTTTGAAACGGGTTGAGGGATGAAAAATGAAACCTGGTGTAACCATAATAGTACAAAAACTTGGAAAAATGTGACTTCATGACATTATAAGGCTATCACATTAAAAGCGATTTAAGGTTAAAGGATTTTTTTATAATACTGAAAAAATTGCCTTGGACAACATTAATTCCAGAGCAGTGAGAGCCCGAAGCCGCTTGACTTTTAATTCCGGTTTTAATAAAAGTGCAATATATCAAGACAAAGACTTGTTTTGCACTTTTCATGCAATTCTTACGGGACTTAGAAACAAAGTTGTAGGAATTGCATTGCACATTTTAACCCGTTTTTCTCCGCCCCGGTGCGAAAATCATATCTTTGTTTGTTTAATTTACCTACCTGCAAGATCGCAGCTACCTTGTTGAAAGCAACAGCAGACAAACATCACCGGGAGCAACAGACGGCAAATGTAGACATTCCAGCCATAACGTGATACATCCAACAGCCCAGCCATGTTTGTGATGTCTGATGGTTGTATTTCTATCCGCATCGTTGGCTGATAAATATGTGTAAAGGATCGCGAATGCGCAAATGTTCTACAGCGGTAGCAATATCTCTAATCGCCATTTAAAAGAGCACTTTAGGCCAGCAATGCTGAGGCATACGTTGCTGTACATTAAATTGACGTTCAGGTTGACTTCCACCGCCAAGGCAAAACTGTGACAACCAATCGTAGGCGTCCTTACGAAATTAATAATTTGTATTACTATAGTCATTAGCGCGTCGCTTTCTAATTCTGTGGTTCTCATTTCCGACCAACCATTTTTTTGGCCTCCCGACCGGAGAAAAGAGGCATGTTTTGCTATGCTGCCGACCCTGTCCTGAATTTCCTAACTAGAAAACAAAGTGCAGAATTGGGGAAAAACCGCCAAAGTAATATGTATAATATGTTACGTTGCCTTCACAACGGTACGGTGCGTTACGGATTAATCCGAGGTACCAGCACCACGCTCTGTGTCAACACAAGGTTTGAAGAACCAGTATGGACAGGCTAAATGTTTACTGCCTATAAAACTGTTGTCATCTGAAAGCGTAATCTCTATGCTTGTCAATGATACCTTGTTTACATTTCCAGGGTCATGCATCACTGAGCCCCACTGTCATTCGATCTTGATGCAAAATTGCAGTGGGTTCATTTTCATGTCAAACACAATAGGCATGGCGCGCATGAGAATAAGTATTCAAGAAGAAGAAACGCGTGCATAAAAAGAAGGAAAAAAACCAGGTCGGATTGGTTTCAAAACTGGATTTTATTGTTCGTCAATAATTTCTCGTTTTGACCAAGCCACGTTAAAAAAATTTAACCCGAGGATTAACATTCAAGCCATTTCAGAGACATTTCCGTAATAATAGGCACACGGTGCTTAGTGGTGTTTTTTTTTTAAGAAAGTGAACCAACTGCATTTTTGCATCCAGTTTTCAAGACAATGATGATCACTGACTATTACATTTTAAGTTTTTGTACAGCCTAAAGTGTGAATGTTTATGAAATAAAGCAATAGTCGTATTTTGTTGGATATGGCACTCCATACACATACACGAGAGTCTGGGTTATTGTCGAAATAACTAAAATGTGCATTTCATTTTTACTAGAATAAGGTTATACTCGACATGGAATAAACTTCAGATATCAAGTTCCAATTTCAATTTTTTCTAAGTGTTGGCCAGTAATTACACACTCCTGCTTGTCATGAGCAATTAGTTTTGTTTTACATAATATATTACAAATCTCATTTTTTTTTAAAATATAACAATGATGCCACAGTGTGAATTTACTCAACTATCCTAAAAGGCAGTTGACAACATTTGCACAAATCTCAAAATGAAATTTTGAAATTATAATGAAACAGCTAGCTTGGTTAATAATAACACCAAGCATTCTGTGAAATCGTTTCGCCCGGTATGATATTAATTTTAAGATATTTGAATTCATTGTGCAAAGATCTTCCGAACAAACGCTCATTGGGTGATTTTGTCTTCAAATAAGCCACCTATTGACCTCTTGCGTACGTTCGGTACACTCGGATTTTATTTCCATTGGATTTTACTAGCAAAACGCATTCAGAAAGCTGCAGCGTGATGGTTGAAAACCATTTGTGTATTCCCTTGTTTTGTCTATAACACAAAACATTAAATACTCCAAATTCAGAAAATAATGGCAACTGCAAATCTTGTATACATGTACTACCTTTAACGCTCCATATAACCTAGTAAATGACGTTGTTTAACAACGGCTTACAGCAAAAAAACTCCGTGAAAATCATCCAAAGGAATAGAGAATATATTTGTATTCTTTAATTACAGTAAATAATTAATGGTGAACAAGTATCGTCCACTGTAATTCTTCAGCATCCATTATAAGCTACAAAGGTCATTGTTGAAAACCGCCTCGTGCTGGATATTCATTTGTGTTTCAATCGAAGCTACATGTTACTTAAACACCCCTACATATTATAAAATGTTCTTGACATTAATGTATGCTGTCTTGAATTTCTTCCTTCACAAAAAATTAATTATCAGACTCGCCGTGCCAGTGCCTTTATGAAATGTGACGCAATTGCGCTTGCTTGATCTATCGATTCGAGCGCGCGCGTTCTGAAAATAAAGATGCGGTTGTTTAGTACGTTGGCAACTAACTCATTTAGTCTTTACAGCACAGACCATTTCAAAACAGTGCTTACCAATATTAAGTCATTAAGCTTTCGGACTGTGTTACTTCTTCGGCTGTTGTTCTTGCATGAACAGCCCACGAAGATGGGCGTCGCCATTTTTTTTTGGGGGGGGGACAAAGCACGTCCCCCACAAATCCTTGTATTTTCTATATGGTATGTTCTCAATTTGTCATTTGTTTTCTTGGGTGGGTGGGTGATATTTACCCACCCCACCCCCATGACACACCTGCCGCCCCACCCCTCCGGTTGACTGAGCAGTGACAAATTTAGAGGCTTGCGCCACTTTTCCAATTGTGGTTTTTGAGGTGTCATTTGTCAAAGAGTGAAAGGCTATGGTTGCCAATTAAGGCAGGTGAGGAAAAAAAGTAATCGCCATGAAAAGTGGCGCAGGCCTGTAAATACAGCCTTGCATAAAATTGGTCACTGCTCAGTCAACCGTGAAGGTAAGGACATGATCAGGGTGTCGTTTTAAAGAGGAGATTCAATCCTAACAGAGGATATCTCCTTTGATTCACATGTGCCCTACTTCTGTCCCAATTAGCAATAATATCTCGATTTCGTGTTTTTTTTCCCCACCCTGTGTAGAGCACCAAATGCGCCCTAATTTGCATTGGCATTAATGTGGAAGGTACACGACTTTTACAACATATGATACAGGAGAAAAACACCACATGTCTAGCAAATGAGTGCCGCTGTGGACAGTAATTTCACTGAAAGCGATGAGAATGCGTCTGATGTTGACATGAACACACCCCGGTGTACTCGCTCTTCGGATGTTGCACTGACCGCCCGGGCATGAAGGCAATCAAAGTCACCATGTCCGTTGACAACAACGACCTCGTCATAGTGGTTGACACCGGAGCAGCGCTTTCGCCTGTATCAGAACAGACATTCGAGTCACGGTGGCCAAACGCGAACCTGCAAAAGACAAAACTCAAACTCCGCACCTACACCGGGGAACAAGTTTCAGTTCTCGGAAACTTCAATGTGGAAGTTGACTACAACGCAAGGATGTTCAACCTTTGCTACTCGTTGTTAAAGGCGATGGACCAAACCTTCTTGCACGAAACTGGTTTCAGGAAATTAAACTTGAATGGCAGCAAATCAACATTCTGCACACGACTACTACTACTAGCGTTGAGGAAGTACTCAAAACTCATTCTACAGTATTTAAGGATGAGTTGGGTACCGTGAAGGGAACAACCGCCAAGATCTACGTCGACAACCTTGGACGTCAGACCACGATTCTGCAAAGCACGCGGGTCGCGTAGTACCGTACGCCATGCGAACATTGGTGGACAATGAACTTGACCGTCTGCAAGCTGCAGAAATAATGAAACCGGTTGAGTTCTCCGAGTGGGCGCCCATAGTTCCAGTCCTATACAAGTCCTCCGTGAGAATCTGCGGGGACTATAATAGCTAACGGCGGAAATGCTGATAGGTCGACGCTTACGCTCCCACCTTGATCAGCTTTGCCCAGATGTAGCTCAGCGTGTCATCAAACAACAGGAAAAACAGAAACATCATCACGACAAGCACGCCAAGACACGTGTGTTTGAGATTGGCGACACAGTCCTAGTTCGCAACTTCACTGAGACTGGCTACTTATGGCTACCAGGCACCATTACAGGCTATGCTGGTCCAGTCTCCTTCAAAATCCGCTTAGTTCACAATGGTTGCAAGATCAGACGACATGTGGATCATCTTCGCAAACAAGAGAGCATACCACATGAACCACATCACGAGTCACACAATCTGGCCGACTACATTGACTTCGGCTCTGCTATCGCCGTCCCACTTCCAGAACAACCCGCCGTGGAAAATGTCATCCCTCCAGCAACCAAAGACCAGCCAGAACCACAAGCATCGGCCGAACCTGAACCGCAGCCTGTTCCACCAGCTGACAGGAAATACGCATCAGGAATGCACCTGACCGCTATGGATTTACAAACACTTAATCTGCATGTTCACATAGGTTAAGTACAGCTGCAGACATCTGAGGCAGAATGATCCTCAGTGCAGTTTGTTGCAAGTCAGGGTAGTCCACCCCTGTACTTAAAAGTTTATCACGTTTGTTATTTGTTGTAACTTGTAAGTTGCAAAAGTTTTTTAAAAACATATAACAGTTTTCGATTCGGCCTGGATGAAGTGATTTTTATAACAGTTGTGCTAAAGATTTTGAAATTGATCCATAACTTGCTTCACATAAGTTAAAGCTTTAATAGGACAGGTTTCATTATAGGGAGGAGGAGTGTAATATTCCGCCAATCGACAAAAAGGTGAAGCACTTTTGTGTACCTTTCACTGGGACGAGAAAGACTTCATCAACTACACAGGGACGAAGAAATGACAATAGCAAAACCAATTTAGGTATTGCAATACCTGCAAGTTTAGTTCGTAATTCGAAAAAAAAAAATTACACTGATACAAAGTAATGATGATTTCACGATATGTTACATACGTCCACCGGTACAACCAAGCAGTTACCGTCAATTTTGTCAAGAATTTAGACCTATGTTCGAAATAGTTGATACAAATCAACATCCAAATAGACTTCAAACCAGTCTTAAACATAGTTTTTAAAACCGGCTAAGCACATCACCAAAGAAAATTATATATCTCGAAGTTAATGTAAATTGATCGGCTTTGCTAAGACAATCCATTTAATGAGCTTTTCCCTTCTAAAAAAAATATGAGGATTAATAATTGCCTAATACACTCGGCAATTTATCTGGTCCTGCAACTTAACAGATGTCGACCGTTATGTACATATAGCGTAGAAATCAGAACAAACGCGAGAACCAGCTCGGGGTCGGGTTGCCAATAGTCGGCTCTAGAATTTCAACTATTCCAGGCCTAAGGTACATCTGAGAAAGACGGTTGAACTATGGTTAACGACGATTCTCGCTCGAACTTGCTTTAGTGCAATAAACACTGAACCTGCAGTCTTTTGCACAGCTGTGACGCTTGTAGTGATTGTACGCGATCACTCACTCGATGCTGCCTGTTGCCGAACGAGTGAGTGAGCAAGTGATGCTGTTCGAACCTTGGCCAGGTTTCAGGTACACGTAATCTTCTGGATTAAGATTTCCCATCTCGAGATAACCCTGTAAATAAACGAAAATAAGTATTGAACCATGAAAAAAGCAAACCATATAGGCGCAGTGAATATTAAACTTGTTGAAAGAGTGAAAACCGTGCACACTATTATTTGATTACGAAACACAACTTCGTAAATAGCACTCTTTATTCCAAAAATGTCATCGGAGATCAACTATTTTTGCGGGTTGTTTAGTACCAGAAAGATCTTTAAACCAAGTAAGGTTTTCGGATAAAAATTATGTAGATCACATTTAGGAAAACCGCAAGTTATCATGCTTTCAACGTTGTTTTGTGCAACTTGATCAGTAGCTTTATAGTAATTAAGTTGGTTTTTCTTCCAATTCGAGCGTGAATTAGGATGAGTCCGCGTATAGTTACATGCCTTTCAAATTGTATTGTTTTTGTCGTAAATACTGCTTATAAACAACGAAGTAAGCCCAAACTATGATAAATCATAGCAGTGTGTCGATCATGAAGTACAAAAGTTGCAACATGATCGGTCGTAATAACAAGAATGACTTTCCTGAGTGCGATCAGGGTTGTATACAGCGACAGAATGCTTATGGCAGAAAATATGAGAAATAAAATGACAGGTGATCAGTACACCTGCTTGGAAACTGAATACCCACCGCTGCATCTGCAAGGATGTCGTCTATGGTGGTGTGAAGACCAGCGAAATCCGGCCTGTCTTCAGGTTTCTCCTGCCAGCAGTCCATCATTATCTGGTATCTGCAATAGAAAGGGGGTAAATGTCAAATGTATATTGTTGTATACATGTATACAGACATGGAAATTGATCCCTGATTATAACGATACACTAGCGGAAACGGAAAATGGAAACACTGTTGGGAAAGATCAATTGTTGGCTCTGGAGTAAAATCCTGAGGTGAAATCTCGATTTTGTTTTGGGTCGATATACTGACTGCCATCGGATGGTTGGTCCTATTTCTGATGATAATTGGAGCAAAGAGACCGAAGCATCTACAAACCAGCCTTCAATCCTCTAAGAACTATCATTTTTACTAAACTTTTTCAACACAATTTTCTCCGCAAATTCCTTCCTGCCTGTGCACTGGCCTGCAAATGCCACAAAATCGCATTTAATCAGATACAATAATATGCTACATACGATTAATACCAACCCCATGCTGGCGATAATGATTACAATAACAGGCATTTACAAAGCGTCTTTGCCAATGAAAGGATTCAAAACGCTTTAAACAATTCAACAAGATTGGAAACACATACAATCAAAACAAATGTGTTCTTTACGAGTCCCTTAAACTGTTCAAGAGGTGATGCATCCCCGATGGTGATGGGGATAGAGTTCCATGTTTTTGGCCCTGCAACGGAGAAGGCACGGTTCCCTTTATTCGTGGTGGTGCGAGGGATGAGCAAATTGACTTCCCAGGGGAGACCTTGCCGTTCAGGTTTGCTGAGGTCCACAACATCGGAATTGTATGGGAACTTGTTGGGCACGGTTTTGTACATGTTGAGTGTTGTCTTGAGCACGGTCCGTACGTTAATTGATTGAAGCCAGTGAAGTTTTTAAAAAAACTGCAGTGGCAAGAAGCAATATATGGCGCAAAGTGCCTTGCTATGAGTATTTTTAATAGCTACAAAAAATTGCAACCGATTGCAGATAATTAAGGAGTTAATGACCCAGATCGACCCCATTAGACTTACATGTCGTCGCTACAATGCTCTGGTTTGGGTAGTCGGTAGCCCTGCTTTATTTCATCGATGACATTTTGCGATGACATGCCGGGGTATGGATGCGATCCTGATGAAAAGGTGATACAGAACGTGAGTACACAGTCAGGCAATAGTTATTGATTGATCTGTCACAACCCCAAATTGGGGCAATTTGGGGTGAAGCAGTCGTGAATTTAAGGTATAGTGACGTCAGTTTGCGTTTTGCTATAATCAAAGATACCGTTTTATAACCATACATTTTCAAAATGGCATTGAGTTACTATCTGAAAATGTGCTTCAGTTAAATACGTGAATAACAGGCCTATACTGTTTATACCCCTAAAATCTAGTCACTCATTGAGGACACCCACATTTGGCCAGAAACAAATTGTTGGGTGCGGTTAAGTGAACAAGTTAGACTCCTAAAATACGAACTTTTTTGTCGTACTGCTTATGCGTAAGTGAACATGATAATGACAGTGGTAAGTCACATGCAACGGTTCGAGTTCATATAAGGTAAACAGACAGGATTTCATAGCAGTCCTGATGTCACAATGACAGCGGTATCAAGACATGAGAAAGGAGCCTCCCAAATACACTTCTGAACTTAACGGAGATTCCGACTCACCTAACGTAACCAGTTCCCACAGAAGAACACCAAAAGACCATACGTCACTCTTGCTCGTGTACATATTACTAATCAGTGACTCAGGAGCCATCCAACGAACTGGTACCCTGCCCTGATGAGTACAAATAAACAACAGTCTGATGAAGATCGTTTCCATACCTTGGTTTTCAGAAAGAACGAGTGTTCAAGTGCTGATGTTGATGATCTTATGTTTTCTCTCAAATTGTTTGTTGTTGCCCTCCCTGGCCTCCTCTAGTTTTCGGTTTCGCCATGATGTGACTAGGATCTATTGTGATGATGCGACGAGTGATTTTGAATAGGTTTGTAATCTGGTGGTTATCACGTCTCACTTGGATCGAGGGAGATTCAATACAAGGTTGTTAGCATGTTAATCACACTACTGTTTCTTGAGTATAGTCACCGCAAACAAAATCTTGCACCTCTCCTGGGAAACTCCTCAAGAGATGATATGTGGTTCACTCTCATTGGATTCCAAGCAGTAATTATGGTCGCACAAATGTGAAGTAGAACCTCTCTTTGATTGGATTTTATAGAACACAATGTGGAAATTAGGCCTGATGAAGTTGACAGCCCTTGATGTTTTTGCAAGTGATTGATACATTAGCAGAAGGCGTCGTTCTTTTATTTTTTACTTTTTACTTACGTGCCTCTCTGGAGATTTCATGAAGTGAATATTACTCAACTAAAACTTTCGGAATCTGCGCTGGCTTCCTTTCTTAACTGACTATTTCTGGATGTATCAATGGAAAGCCGCAAGGCGCCAAACTGATTCCTAGTAAGATCCAACCACCAGAGGGTGGCCTCTAAAGTGCGTGTACTAAATGATAATTATGTTGTATACCTGTGATTGCATTTCGTACTGGCTTTTCTCGGCCACGTCTCGAGCCAGTCCAAAGTCAGACACCTTGCATACCAATCCCTCGCCAAGGAGGATGTTACGGGTCGCCAAGTCCCTGTGGATGCACTGAGAAGACAAGACAATAAACTACATCAGACTAGGGACTCAAGATAATGTGTGGGAAAGAATTAATGTGGAGTCTGTGTGATATGGCAAAAAAATGACGAACTTTTTAAATCAGTACCAGTACTTAATGCTACAGAGGCATTGTTACAAGTTTGGTTTGTAGAGCAATCAGAATGAGAGTGAATCTGCGTTGAAGGGGACCCGTCCAGAGCAAAATCATGCTAAGGGGATGATATAGAAATTGGAAAAAAATAAGTCGTGAGAAATAATCAGTTGAGAACAAGTTGTAAATAATTAACAAGGCGTTTCAGTTGATAACCGGCCTTTTTGTATAGTAAGCAAGCTGCTTTTTTTTGGGGGGGGGGGGGGGGGGAAGGGGGTTTGGTTGTCTGTTAAGGTTGAAATGTTTGTGTGTGTTGTTTTTTAATTTGCATTTGCTTGGTAGATTAATAATCCTTAATGACTAACTACACACAAAAGCTCCAGCTGGACGCACAACTACTAATCCTGCATCTTGGTAACGAGGCACACTGAAAGTGACGCATTGTCCACTGATTTATCTCCATTGACCTTACATCTAAATGCGATCTCACCTGTTTCGATGCTAGATACTCCATCCCCCTGACCACCTGAGATGCGAAAGTCAGGATCTCCGTCGGTGTCAGGTCCTTCTTCTCCTTGAACTCTTCCTTCTTCAGGTAGAAGGGTTCGGTGCCCGTCCGAATGTGTCGCAGGTAGGTCTGCAGGTCTCTATAGGGAACGTACTCCAGGATTATGTACATCGGGTCTGAAGGGAAAGACATCAAAAATTAGTTAAAAGTACAAATCATCTCGTCTGCATGTATGCCACCTGAGGGCGCTACGCCTTTGGTGAATTCGCAGGAATAGACGAAGAGTTGTCAAAACCGCTCTCACTCACAGCTTGATTCAGATAGTATGCACAAAATAAGACGCCTAGCACGGCAGTCAAGGCAAGTTCACTTTAACTTTGTGGGTATAATAAAGGGTGATTCCAAAAATAAGGGAACCCAAACGGGTGTTCCAATTGTTTTTTGAAAGAATCAGTAACAAAGGAAGTGATATTTCAGCAAAACAAAACTTTTCACATATCAAAAGCACATCAGAACACTCTCATAGCCATGATAATTGGCACTTATCATAACGTTAATTTCAGAAACACCTGCTGCTTTCAATGTAAAAGCCACACGCTTTATAATGTCTTAACACGCTTTATATAGTCTTGTCCTGTCTTCTACTAGGCTACCACAGAGACTTATGGGATTATTATGGCATTTTAGGATACGGCTGGTTTCATTTTTACTGGAATATCACGCATACCATAAATGAGATCTGTGGACAAGGTTAAAAACGGTGTTTGTTTTCCAAATTCCAAAACTGTAAAAGTACATGAGCGATTTTAATTAATTTATTTTCACGAAAAGAAAGCTTATTTGTGAGGCTTTCATATTCTAGATCTGGAAAGCGCTAGATGCAGAACTTCTTTAGAAATAGGGGGCATCACTTGGGTTTCCTTTTCTTTCGACTCACCCTGATGTACACTCACTCACTAGGTCGGCCACTTTACAACATAATTGCAGTCAGGTTTAAACACGTATTGTTTTAATTTTCAAAACTTATCGAAACTCATCAAATTGGAGATGCAACTTTTTGGTACATTATTCGAATTGTACCTTTATCAGTGCAGTATCCGAGCATAGACAGGACATTGGGATGTCGGTCCAACATGGAATACAGTCGCAACTCTTTCTTGAAATCACTCTGATCGTTGGGTGTAGCACATTCTAAACGGTAGAGGAACAAGTATTTTTGTGTCAGAAAAGTGAAGAAAAAAAAAGGCTGTTTGAGGTGCAATTTTGTAAAAAGGGTTTCGAGGCAAAAATAAGCACAACTATGGGTGTGACTGGTTTGGTGATAATCTACTGAAAGGCAGTGAATCATTTTCGGGTAGAGTACCCGCGAATTTGTGAAACTGTTCTATAAAAGTAAACAGTAAAAAATTGCAGTCTGTGATCGCCACATATGTTAAGCGTACGTGAACATTGTCTTAACTTTGCCAATGGGGGGGGGGGGGAGGTGACGTCGCACTTTTTCAGCGTAAAGTGAACTAAATTTGTCCAACCATCGTCGACGAGCTTGCTTTGACTCGAATGGACCGTTCCGGATATTGCAATATTCCAGCCCCGCTCCGCCCACCTTTGATTCGCGTACACTCTTCACAGTGCTTGTGACTGAAAATTGACCCCGCTATATTGCAGAGTGGTCACCTGTTCAAATGTCGTTATCTCATTAGTCAATGAAAGACTATCAAAGTCCCTCCAATAACTACAAATCTGTGTAGTACTTTAGCCCTATGAAAATGCCGTACCTTTCAACATCTTGACAGCCACCGTCGTATTGGTTCCCCTACGGATGATTCCCTCTGCCTCGGCCTTGTAGACCACAGCAAACGAGCCGCTGCCTAACTGGCCGAGGATGTGTAGTTTGTCCCGCGGGAACTCCTTGGCCGGTCCATTTAATTTCGATGTCGATGCTTGGAGAGTGTCAATCAAATAAACATTCGACAATTTCTGCAAGACGGTAAAACAATCGTCAAAATGGAACGGACATTGTGCTTTTAAACAGTTTCCGAGTTAATAACAAGGTCAGATCGAACTTTCTAGGGCGAAATTGTTGACGACATGCAAGTTCTTACGTTGTGAGTCCGCAAAGCGTCGAACCAATTTCAACTCTGGCATGTGCATTCTCAAAAAAGTGGAAACTGGTCTTGACAAGGCATAATTAGGATGATTTAAAATGTGACAACTTTTGGCATAATCACATAAGATATTGCTTGAAATTCTGACTAGATTTACAAAGGTATCTACCAACAATTAGGTACTCAAAGCGCTGGTAAATATGACTATTATTAAAGACAGGTAATGAAGTTCATGAGAAATATGAGACCCATTATGTAGCACCTTTTAAAAGGTTTAAATGCTGTGTGGCATATTGCAGCAACTGCAAGAAACCCCTTCATTTAACGTTGGTTCTTTAACACATGGGACCAACGGCTTCATGTCCCATCCGAAGGACGAGGCAATAACGGTAAAGCGCCTTGCTCAAGCTGAGAGCACAATCACCGTGTTCCCGTGAGGATTCGAACCCATGTACCACAAAACACGAGTCGAACACCGTAACTATTGGACCACATCACCACTCAAACTCCAACAGTTTGACCCGGAAATCTTGACAGAAGAGTTATTTTGACCCAAAAGAGTAAAAAAAGGGATCGATGATTCGTTCTGAAAAATTGTCTGAGTTTCTCGTCAGGCTTAAAAGACAGAATCTGTCATTATTTAGAAGCTGCATTTTAGACACTGCATAGTCACCAGTGATTCTTTCATCACTTTTTTTCGGATGTAATACAAGATAGATAAAAACAAAATTAGACGTCTTTAGACACTACCCAGCACCTTTTGGATGAGCTCCTGTCCACACCCTCTATCGACTGCAGACAGCCGGCTGCCTCTGCGCTTGCGCCGTGACCTTTTGACAAAGCAAACCACGACAATGACCAGCACGACAATCAAGACGACGACGACAACGACAATGACAACAACAACATTGATCGTCGTGGTGTTTGCAATAGCGTCTGCAGGAAAAAAACCCAAAAAACATAATCGATTACATTTCACCTTCAATAAGTTTTAAATCTTGGTTTTAACTTCTTTTTAAACTTGTCTTCTGAATGGTTAGAGTACATTTTTTAAAGTCCAAGGTCAAAGTTGATCAGGAATCCGAATCGTATTTGACACGATACTTTAGAGACTCAAAATGAGTTCATGTTCATTAAGTTGGTTATCTCCACGATCGGAGTCAACATACATTTCATTCAACCTCAATCTATCACGATACATCACACATTAAATCTTTCAACATGGAAGCAAAGAGATTTGGATCTTTCTAGAATGAGTATGACGACTAATTATACAAGATTTTTTTACAGAATGCATATCATACTCGGCAATATAAATAGTCAGTGGAAAGACCAAGGTTAGTAAGTACACATGTATGAACAGGAACCAGATTATTTTCATGGCTAAAACAAGCTATGTGGCTAACATACCTAATGCGCTAAAAATGAAGAATATAATGTGTAATAAGAGTACTCAACAAAGTACTTCAAACAGACATACAAATGCAAATGATGTGGGTGATAACATGTAACATTGGTTAAATATAGTGAGTAAGTAATGTATATATATATATATATTAGCTATCGGTGTGTTTTATTTCTGTTCTAACAATATTAGTGTTTTTGAATCAACTAGCTTTTTGGTGGGAGGACATAAGCTTTCTAAAATTACAACTGAGTCTTGCTATCAGAGACAACATGAACTGATTGGAGATGTCGTGAACTTAAAAAGACAGACCGATGGTGATTCGAATATATATATTAAGTACCCACTCAAAACACACAATTCTACGCGAGTGACTTTATATATCGTCACTATATCACAAGGGGACGGACATGTGGATTTTTAAAAAAGACCGTTTTCGAGATAATTGCAAGAGAAGTTTCTCCAATTTTAAAACTGCAAAAACTACTACTTGGTGCCTTGAACAATTTCAAGAAAAGTAACTATTATTTCAATCACTGTTGCACATATTTGTCCCTAGTTTCATAGCATGGTACTCTTTAGTTCTGAAAAGAACTTGTCCTCCTGACGATGACTAAAGCAGGCTAGCCGAAACGTTGAGACCAAAGACAAGTTCTTTTAGAACAAAACTAAAACTAATGAGTGATACGAATACCCCACCATGCAAAGCCTAAAATCTGACAATGTACTCACTTTGGCAATCCCCTCCACTAAAACCGGCGGAGCAGGAACAGTTATAGAAATCACCGGTGGACTGTGGGATACACGTGCCGCCATTTTGGCAAGGGTTTGGGTTGATACAAACATTATCTACATGTATATGTAAAATAAATAGAGATTTAATCACCACAGAGCTTAATAGCAAATCATTTGTGAAATAGCCAATGTGAACCCCCAAACACTTCGGTCGCGTAATTTCTTATTCCCAGGACGGTAGGGACCAAATCATGAATAATTCAGTAATTTCGATCTGGCCAGAATGTTTATTCATGAGAACAGTACAACGATATCAAGAGCATTGTTAGTAGATAGAGTAGCCTATTGGGAACGTGGCGAGATGAGCTATGGAAACAACCATACCTGGTTCGAATCCACGTCGTCGCTGCTCATTTTCGTCGACTATTTTTCTTTTCCAAATTGATCTTTAAGATAATTTTGATTTGAGAGAAAGCGAGAACTAAAACCTAAAGTGTCATGCAATGATTCAAGGAAATGCATGACTTGGCCCTAGCCCTTCTATGAAAAAAAATACGCTCCCGGATCTGACAATATCAAAAGAGGGCGCTCTCCCTGTGTTATGCATATTCATGAAAGTCCAGGGAATTTAGAAAATAAATTATATAACAAGGAATAATAGTGTTTAAATCACCGACGATTGGCAGCTCATTCGTGGACTGGTTGGAAGAAGTCCTGACTTCTAATCAGGTGATCCGAGTTCGAATCCCAGTCAGCGTTTTGCACTTCTTCTTATTTTGCCTTTTCAATAAGTTAAGGGGCAGGAACATTTCTCGCAAGACGTTAAGCCTATCTTGGGTTTGTGTTGTGGAAAACAAGGCATTAGGTGTGCATACAATGGACCAATCAGAAGATGGAAAGCATAATGTCAGTTGGGAAAAAAATCGCTCCTCGGTCGGTATGTACGTCCGCCTGTTGTGATCAACGAGCCTCTTCATACGTACATTCTAATGAAGTTCAACTGAACTATATTATCCTTAAGTCTGAATCGAAGAAGTCAGTATTCATTATTTCGAATACAAACTTTGTGTAGTTCAGTCTAGTTTCACTCTGTTTTGATTATGATAGGTAAATGCATTTTACATATTGCATACCTTCACATGTTGGTACCGAGTCACTCCACGTGACGTTGTTGTAGCCAGTCTCAATGCATTCAATGCTGGATGCTCCATGGAGGGTATATCCAGGGTCACAGGAGAAATCTACACGAGTCCCGAAGAACTTGAAGTTGATGAGATTGTAAGACAGTGAACGCGGGTTGGTGATGGTGTGGTCTCCGTTGGTGGGTGGTCCTATGTCGTTACTACACACTCCTTGTGATACTGCAATAAGACAACATAATACGTATCTTGTGAACTTCTGATGAGGCGATCCATGTTGTTGATGAGTCAATCACAATTCCGTTCGCAAGTAAACCGCAAGTTACTTCACAAGTCCGGCCAAAAGTTAAGCCCCAGTCACACAATTACGGTTTTGAAATGTGAATATCCACGGTATACCAAAAATCAATCGATCACGATGAACCGTCGAGATTAGTGGAGAAATCAAAGTTCTAAGAATGCTCTACGGTTTCAGAACGGATAGCCGCGACTGATCTACGGTTTCTCTACGAATACATCACGGTTTTGTCAAGAATATGGACGGATTGGTGACGAAAATCGACGGTATTACTGAGAATAATGACGCCAACGTCACGGTTGTCTGTTATTGGACCACGGATGACCAAGGTTCTCCTACGAATAAAGCTTAAACATTTGTAGTACAACTTTAGCAGAACTCTAGCACATCCTGGCATATCCGTAGGACATTCGTAGCGAATTCGTAGAGATTTCTACCACGAATGAGCTACGAATCTCCAATATGAACGAATAAAGCCACGAATAACACTACGAATAAGTACGGTTGTCCCACGGATGTCCCACGGTTGCACTACGGATTAATGTTCATGACGGTTTACCACGGAAGTTATGAACAGTTTTAAACTCCCGTAGCCTTTCCACGAATACCCAAGGAAGATGAATGATAACCATGGATGTACCAAGGATGAATACGGTACTCCCACACTTTATCACGAATTTCAAATCGTAGAGATCCGTATAGCTACAAACCGTGAATGTGTGACTGGGACTTAACATTGGATGAATGTTGACAAAGGAATGCCCTTGTCTCATTTTATTTCAATAGTTTTTGACATGACGAAGGACTGGATGATTTATGATGGATTTATGAGGACGTGTGATGTAGTCAACTGGCTTTGAATGAAAATCCACAGTACATTTGAATGAACTGTAAAATGTGTTCAGTTGGTTATTTTTTTCTACTCACCTGTGTACACGGATATGCGCCATTTGCCTCCACAGATCTGATTGCTGTTTCCGGGGCAAAAATATTTGCAATCGGAATCCGGCTCTTTACCGTGTTTATCGTAGTTGTCATTCCCACACCAGCATTCGTATTTGTATTCCATTCCCGCATATTTATACTCCGTAGGTTCCAAACAGTTTCTGAAGCACCACTCTACCGACTGTTCATATTCTGTGGCTGCTGGGCCGACCGATAGGGAACGATATTCAGCGTCCCCAAAACATCCCAAATAACCAGGAGCTGGAAAAAGAAAACAAATTTGAAAACATAACTCGTATCAAACCTACCCGAAGCCAAGGGCGGATCCGCCCCCCCCCCCCAAAAAAAATACCCCCCGAAACCAATTGTTGGTTTGTTTATGTGACGTCGCAATAAAGGCAGGCAATGAGTACACCACCATCTTTTCTAACAAAACATTGGCTAAAGTCGTCAGAAAATTGCCTCAGATCGCACCACAAAGCATCGAGAATCCCAAAAAAATTTGGGGCCCTTAAGCGGGCCCCGAACCCCACGCCGTAATTTTTTGACCCACTTTTTGGGAGACACAAAACAATTTTGGGCCCCCCCAAAAGAAATTGTGTTCTGGATCCGCCCTTGCCCAAAGCATACATAAAGTTCGTCAAAATGTCCTAAAGGTGTCAAACCAATAAATACTAGATGTACTTAAGATTGGGCCCTAACTACATATTACTTTATTTACCAGCAATGTCAGATGCTGCTCGTATGATCGAGCTACGGGTTAGTAACAAAGATCGGAACCCAAACCTCAAAAAATATGTTTCATATTTAAAAAAACAAAACAACTATGTAGCACCAAAAATAATAATTACCGGAAAGCCAATTTCATCAGCTACTTTTGGTTAAAAAAAATAATGTTCAATCCGTTTAGGGAATATTGCTATTTAAACGCAATGACACTAAAACATGTTTCGTCCAAAAAAGAAAGCAATATATTTATTTATTGGATTGCAGTGCTAATGATGTTATCACCGTACATTGGTCTTGAAATTCGACTCTTTCTTGGTAAAGAATATATCGTTGGTTTACTGCACAGTTGTGGTTTTGACAAACTCGCTGACTTTCCCGCCAAAGTTGATATAGCTTGTTTGCTTGATTAAAGTGGTTCATCTTCATCATCACTGCACTTTTCTTCAATATGCCAGTAAACTTGTGTCCAATTACATGTGCTGCGTGTGTAAATATAGTCTATACACATCTACAATGTCGCCCTCTATGGTAATTTTGTAACTATAATATCTTTCATTGTACATGTATAAAACAATCAATTACATCGCTATTTCAATTTTGAGGTTCATTGTTTAAAATTTTAGGTGCTTTTGGCCAAACGAATTTTTGGAGACATTGGAAGGAGAATATTTCGTGGAGAACATTTCGTGGCGGCCAGAGAACAAAACGTGGCGGCCATTTTGAAAAGCAAGATGGCTGTCATTCATTGGTTTTCTGATGAAAATTAAAACAGTCAATCTTAAACCCTTGATATTTACAATTAGGGGTGTAAGGCCACCAAGATTAATTTCATAATATGACATTCACAAGTTGAAAATGATCCTAAAATGACGTCCATTTTGAAATTCAAGATGGCCGCCATCTGCAACACTCAGTATTTTGCCAACATGTTTTTTTCTTGTTCCTGGGGGTCTAATTAAGGTTTCTAGCTAGGTGGCATGGTGTCATCATTCGGTGTCTACGGCACTTAATTTCATGCCATAATATATCCCTGTGATGCATAGAATTCCAAACGGCCCAGGAATAAGCTTTCGCTTCTCAAGCGCTCCATTCGCTCCAGGCCGGCTATGTGTGTGGCACCGGTACTGGTGAAACATTCACCACGTACATCGAGACACTAAATGTTAGGTACGTGTAATATAAATATTCATATCCTCCTAAAGCTAATCTAATCAGAATGCTTCTCCGTTCAATTTTTTGAGCACGCATATGGGACCGAGGATGCAGGAATCGTTGTAGACTGTTTCCCTGGTCCCCCCCCCCCCCAATATGTGGAGACCGGTACCTAGCGCGAATTATGATTATATTCCAAATCACTGTGCATGGACGGTGATCCAACACACGCTTTTTGAAAAACTCACTCTTGTCTTACCACCTAAAGTACGCAAAATCATCAGTGTCTCCACTCTCCATGAAGGTAACTTTTTCAACTGCATAGGTTTTAAATACTGAGCAGTAATTTTTCTCTCTCCCTCTCTTTATTAATATTTGTCAGAGACACTTTCGAGTTCAGCAAAAAAAATCGATGGTAATCACATCCGAAATTGAACAATGGTGGCACAGCTATTGTCTTTTTTGCAAAAGGATCTGGTTCGGGCAAACGTTACGGTTGTAATGTTCAATTCAGGAGGCGGAATTCAGACCTGTACACGTCATGCATATATTTGCATACATCAGGAGGGATGCCTCCTGATGTGTGCAAGATTCACCGCTAGCTACCCGTCCCCATATTTGAAATCCAAAGGACAATGGGGACAGGGAATCAGACTAGAATCGTTGCTGCATGTGTATTATACCGCGCGCTTCACGTAAAACTGGGACGGTATGCGGTTGTCAGATACGGTGCAGTGCGCTGCGCGGCGGCGCAGGCGGACTAAACCCGGCAAAATGCCGACTTGATTTCTAGTCTACCTACCAGCACACTCTCCAGACGTGTACTCTTCAACCGCCAACTCGGCAAGTTGCAGAAATGCACGTGCTGCATCCACACCGGGCATGGAAGTATTGATGTCCAAGCTGACATACCTAGCAAGCCGCGGTGGCTCGCACAGGAACGTGATCTCGGCTCCATTCTGAGACTGTTCGCTGGTAGCCGGTGAGCCGCACGGCAGGTTCTCGTTGAAGTTGGGGCTCAGTCCAGCTCGGGCTATCGCCCCGATGAAACGAAAACCTATAAAAAGAAAAAACAGTTCAACTTTATTCGTCACCATTTTCACGAAGAGCCACATATGTCGATTTTGAAGAAGAAGCGTTTTCGAGATAATCGCAAAAGAAGTTTCTCCTATTTTAAAACTGCAAAAAATACCACTTTGCAACAACTTTGTGAAGCAAGGACCATCACACTATTCTGTGTGAGCTGAATTTTTACATGAACCCAGTAACAAGACTTAATTCAGCAGTTAATTAGTGAAAATTAATTAGTAAAGATATGTGGCTGTTCGTGAAAACGCAATTCAGGTTTCTGACATATTGGCCCTTTCTGTTCAATGTGTATTTCCATAGGCGCGCGTGAGTACTCGCGCGCAGCTGAAAATGTAACAAAGATATGTGGCCCTTCGTGAAAACGCAAATCTCATTTGACCTACTTTTACGTATTTCCGTGAAATGGGTTTTGTACGCGTTCAAAGGGCCAAAATGTATGTGGCTCTTCGTGAAAACGCAAAATTCAATTATCGAGATTTTGGACTCTTGCAACATTAATGTAACTTGGAAATTAATGATGCTTTGCTTACAGAAACATGTCAAAATGGTTAAGTACATTGTTTTAAAGCAAAATATGGAAAAAAATCAAAATCGAAAAAATGGTAGTTTTTGACATATGTGGCTCTTCGTGAAAACGGTGACGTATTATGTACAGACATGGTTATCAGAATGTCTGATATATATATGATATTTATAATTATCTCTGGATGATTCTCAAAATCTCCTGATTTAGTTTGTATACATTACAGATTATTTTGAATGCATATACATTTTGAAATTAGTAAAAATTTGCAATATCAAAGTGACTGGTCTTTAAGCAATTTTACCCCATCCATTCATTCGGAGGGTGACGTTGATTCTACCCAAGCAGTGCTTGCTACCTAGTTTCAGCAGCCACCAAGGATGCGGATCATTAGCATCTGAAATGTAGGAAAGGAAGAAAATGTTTTCAATTCAAATGTACTTTGTGTATTTTTAACAACTGCGAACAAAGTGGTGACGTTGATGCTGAGGGTGGCGAAAGCTAACAATGGTGAAAATGATAAAGATCGTGTCAGTTGGGATGCAAGGCGATGGGGACGGAGAGGCAATGGGGAGCGATTGGGAAGGGGAGGTACGTGGTGATGGACATGAGGTGCACGTGGGTATGGGACCTGGGATGGCAGGGAGGGAAGAGGGCATTGGGATAACGATCAGTGGGTGATGGGGATAATAATGGGGATGGGGACGAGGATCAGATTGGAAATGGGGACGGAGAGGCAAGGGAAAGGGATTGTGAAGGGGGATGGTGATGGACAGGAGGTGTACGTGGAGAGGGGACCTGGGATTGCAGGGGAGGGAAGAGGGCATTGGGGGTAACGGTCAGTGGGTGATGGGATCAGTATGGGGATGGGGACAGGGGCCAGTATTTGGATAGGGACGGGGGTCAGTGTGGGGATATGAACGGATTCAGTGCAGTGTGGGGATACGGACGGGGATAAGTTTTGGGATAGGGACGGGGATCAGTATGGGGATGGGGAAGAGGATCAGCCTGGGATGGGTATTAAGTATGGGCATTCGGAAGAGGAGAAGATTTGCTTGATCAGGTGAGGGAATGATCAGTGAAGGAATGGGGACGGAGAGAAGGATGGGTATGAGGACGGGGATCACATTGCGATCTGTGTTGATAAGTGTTGCGATGGGTATTGGATGGGGACAGGAAAAAGTATATAGGGATTATAATGGGAATTAGTATGCTGATTGGAACAGGTTCAGCATGGGGAGGAGGATATCAAATTACGGAGATGCGCACGGAGATCAGTGTTTGGATGGGGATGGGGATCCGTATAATGATAGTGGTGGGGATTAGTATAAGGATGGGGACCGGATTGATATGTAGACATGGATTGGTATGGGGAAGAAAATGGGGGATGTGGATCAGTATTGGGATGCGAAGGTGGATCAGTATGGCGATAGGAACGGGCATGAGTATGGAAATGGAATGGCATCAGTATGATAGTGACATATTTCAGTATGGGGAGGGGATCAGTATGGAATCAGTATGGTGATAGGGCGGGAATCAGAATGTGGCCGGGGATCTGCATGGGTTTGGGGTGGGGATCTGAAAGTGGCCAGGGGTCAGAATGGGGCGTTCTGAATGCATTTATTATATCAATGTCTTCCGCTTTTTCTTTCTGTGAATTGGCCTCCATACATTTGTTTAATTAACTTACCAGTTATTATTCTTTGTCCATTTTCTATGCAATGTAAATAAATGTCTCTTGAATTAAAATGAATTATTGGGGGATTTGGTGGCTGGACGTTGGCATGGGGCGGGAATGAGGACTGAGGAGATTGATGAGGATGCAAATGGTGGAGGGAGGAGAAAGTTGGTACATAGTCATTGATTTTGAGAATGACGCAGGTGACGAGGGAGACGAATTCGACGATGACATGAAGTTACAGCAAACGCGGAGGTATAATTCGCATTGTTCTTACCAGTGTGCGTGTAGGTATATTTCCGTCCATCTATAGCCTTATAAGAAGGGTGAGCGTCCCATGTTGAGCTCTGTGATGTATTTTTCCCATAAACAGGGAGGGCTGAAATGAATCAGGTTTTTGACAACAATTTAAACAATGACAACCGACGCAATGAATACACCATGAAGTCACTTAAATTTCCATCTAAATGTATATTATTATCTCGGTGTAAAGTTACAAACAAATCGAACATTATAATGCTGTAGATATGTGCCATTAATAGAAAACATCATGCTGATGTCACTTTAATTTCTATCTATGATACATCCCGGTATATGCACATGCAAATCGGGTCTATGGTTCTTGAGATATAGACCTTAGAAAATTGTCCATTTAATATGATATCACATGACATGTGATGACGTCATGAGGACATCACCTCGATTTTCATATGTACCACACGTGTGCACACCCCTGTCTATATGCATACCAAGTTTCAACCCAATCGGACTGGTACTTCAGAAATTACGGCTACTCGAAACAAAATGCACTTCTAATATGTAGTGACGCAAGATGCTGTCATCGTAACGGAAATCATCAGGGTCCATCTCTGGTTAAGTGTATGGCTTGAAGAAGAACGTGTACAAAATATTGTGGAGAAAAATACATCTTTAATGTGAGGTTACACTGCGCATTGTAAACTACATGTACGGGCCTGATGCACGAGTTGGCCATTCCCTGAATGCATTTCATTAAGTGATATCTGTTGAATTGGATGGTGCCAGACTCTTTATGCAGACATAATGCAGCCTTATTTATTGTCATTTTTTTAGTCTGGCTTTTACGATGTGTATATTACACATTTTAAATTATTCATTAAAGCAGACTGAAATTAATTATTAATTACCTGCTTTCATTTCTCTTCACAAGTTCCAAAAATTTAGATGTAACCTCAATTTCAATTCAACGGGGCCGACTGGTGCATAAGGCCCAATAGGCCTTTTCTACATCATGTCAATGCCGGTGTGGACGGACATTCTGTCCCTAAAAAACTTTGTCTGGTTTGTCTACGAAATTGTGTCCCTGACACAGTTTTTCCTAGGTTATACTGTCAACCTTATAAAACACATGTCTTTTAATTAACAGATTAGCAATTTGCCTATTTCGCCTTGGCCGAGGAGATTACAATTACACAAAGCAAATTTTGCAAGTAGGTTGTAAAGTTCTGTTTTTTATTGAAGCGTGACCTTGGAAATACCAAACGACTGATGTCACCTACCAGCACACTCTCCAGACGTGACGTTTTCCACCGTCACCTCGGCAAGTTGCAAATATGCCTCTCTCGGATCCACACCGGGCATGGAGGTATCGATGTCCAAGCTGATATACCTAGCCGTCCGCGGTGGCTCGCACAGGAATGGGATCTCAGCTCCATTCTGAGACTGTTCGCTGGTAGCCGGTGAGCCGCACGGCAGGTTCTCGGTGAAGTTGGGGCTCAGTCCAACTCGCACTATCGCCCCGGTGAAACGATAACCTAGAGAGGAAAAGACAGTTCTACTTTGTAAATTACAGTTTTGCAAAAAAAACATCTTTCTAAAAAGAAAACCTCAATGAATAATAATTCGTGGGGTGAAGTGTAGAGAACATTTACCCCCGCCATACTTTCGGAGAGTGACGTTGATTCTACTCAAGTTGTGATTGCTACCTAGGTCAAGCAGCCACCAAGGATGCGGATCATAATCATCTGGAAGGAAGGAAAGGAAGAATATTAAAGGGTCCATGAAGTGAATATTTATTAGGAACTTGTTTTGTGCTTATTTCTAATCCTCTAAACTCCGGTTCATAAACTTCATGCGTAATGCAAATGCGAAGCGAATTTGACGTCATGAAACATTTGCTGCGAACTTTGCCTGAGTTGAAATATGTTTTACAAATTTAAACGTGAATAGTTGCCATGACGGCACAATTTGTGTTCTCTTTTGCGCCGAGTATGAACCGCGCTTTTTGAGTCTGAAAACTACTTGACGTTCCCTGGTTACTTTTACTAAAAAGAGCACCTCTCTCAACGTTTCAAATTTTCCATGCTTTTCCAGACAACAAAGGGTGATTTTGCAGTGGTGTTCTTTCAGTAAGACATTGTCCATTTTATGTGTTTTTTTTCTGCTGAAATTATGAACCCAAACATTTGTTCATTGAAGACATTTGAGAGAAAAGTTTGCTCACTGGCTTACTGCCATGAGCTGACACATCAACTCTTTCGCTACGGCGAGCCGCTGACAGCAGCACACAACAATTGTACAAGTCGTACGGAAAGCCGCTGGCAGCGGCTCGGTTTACGTCGTCGTGAATAAACAGGGTATCCCCATGACGTGTGCCTTGTCTACACAATTTATATCGTATAACCTCTGACCCTAGTTTGAGCCGCTGCCAGCGGCTTTCCGTCTCGCCGGGGTCTGCTGCAGGTTATTGTGAGCAGTTTGTTTACAGAGATATACATTTAAAGATGGCGGCGTCTACATCGACACACGGCGGAATCTCCAGCGATTTATTAGGTCCACACCGGACGAAATCAGTAAATTATAATTAAATCCGAGCGGTCGGAGAGGCAAGGGCAGGGGATTAGGAAGGGGAGGGTGCGCATGAGGACTGACATAGGGACAGCATGGGAGGGAAGGGGCACAGGAGTGAGAGCAATTAGTATGGGGATGGGGATGGAGGTGGGGATGGGAATAGGGATGGGGATGGGGATGGGGATGGGGATGGGGATGGAAATGGGGATGGGGATGGAAATGGGAATGGGGATGGAGATGGGGAAAGAGATGGGGATGGGGATTGGGATGGAGATGGGGATAGGGATGGGGATGGGGATGGGGATGGGGATGGGGATGGCAAAGGGGATGGGGATGGGGATGGGGAGGGGGAGGGGGAGGGAAATGGGGATGGGGATGGGGAGGGGGATGGGGAGGGGGATGGGGAGGGGGATGGGGATGGGTATGGGGATGGGGATGGGGATGGAGGTGGGGATGGCGATGGCGATGGCGATGGCGATGAGGATGGGGATTGGGATAGGGATGAAAATGGGGATGGGTATCGGGATTGGGATGAGGATGGGGATGGGGATAGGGATGGGGATGGGGATAGGGAGAAGGATGGGGATGGGGATGGGGATGGGGATAGGGATGGGGATAGGGATGGAGATTGGTTGAAGGGAAGTAGCCATGGGCGTAGCAAGATTTTTTTCTTTGGAGGGGGAGAACAAATCCGTGTACCTTCTCCAGCCTATTCTCAGTTTACTGCTTCGAGGGTGGGCGGGAGTGGAACATTTTGCCCACCCCACCCGCATTGACAACCCTGCAGTCGGCCATTTTGTTAAATGTGTATGAAGAGGTTTTGGAAAGACAAAGATGTCTCACAGAAAACGAAGCTGCGTCTTGTAAATGCACTCGTCCATTCTGTTCTCCTATATGGCTCAGCAGCTTGGACTATCAAGACGGCTGAAAAAGATGCACTCCTATCGCAAAACCCTGAACATCTCTTGCCAAGACAAGGTGCGAAATGACGAGGTGTGGAGCAGAATTTCGGCTGCCGGCAATCCACCGGAGTTAATCACCTTATTCATATAAATAAATCCAACTTGCCTGGTTTGGTAAAATAGTGAGGATAGCAAACAGCAGAGTTTCCAAACGAGTCCTGATCGAAACAGTGACTGGGAAAAATAGACGGGATAGGCCAAGGAAGAGATGGGAAAATCACATTATTAAACAGCGCCTTCTATTTAGAACACCGCAAAGCGCAAGACAAACATGAGTAGAGAGCGAAAACTGGTGGAGCCAACGTCCTTTGGGACATGGTGCAGGATTAAATTAGATTAGATTAGATTGGAAGCAGCAGAAGGAAGTGTTGGTACTGTGTCATTGATTTCAAGAATGCCGAAGGTGACTAGAGAAACGAAGTAGATGATGACATGGGGTCATAGCAAATGCAGACGTATTTCTCATTGCTCTTACTTGTGCGTGAGAAGGTATACGTCTGTCCATCGATGGCCTGATAAGATTCATGAGGCGACCATACGGTGCTCTGTGATGTGTGTTTCCGATGAATAGGTAGGGCTGAAAATAAATCAGGGATTTAATAACAACTTACAATGGACAATAGCCAAGGTATTTTATCCTTTCCTTTCATGGAGGTCTTGCTGGAAATAAAAAAAACCATAACATTCGAAAGTCGTGAACCCCCCCTCAAAAAAACCAAAATTCATGCCTTCTACCTCCCGATGACGCGACCCCCCCCCCCCCAACGACATCTGAATGTGGTGCAATCTATGACGTTTTGGACTTAACTTGTTTTAAAAACATGAGTTGCTACTCTTTCAAGGGGTAAAAAGCTGCAACATTGACTGACAAATTCAACTGAAAGCTCAAAAAGTAAATGCAAACTCGAAAAATCGACTCGAAATGTAAACTCCAATTTCGACAAGACCACAAAATAGAATTTATCCTTAAATTTTACATGGCCAACAAAACAGTGCACATGCACCCCTAGAGGTTTTGCATACAAGTACCATGGGGCAGGTGGGTGAATGTACATGGGTGTACATTGTACTATGCGCATTGTACATCTACATGCATGTACACAATTTTGTCAACAAATAAGTATATTCCGTTCTGAACGTATATTTCTGGATTTTCACGCTATTCGAAAATTGAAAGTGACCTTGCACAATTTCTTTGGTGTAATCGAAAAAAGAAACTAGCTGTCCAAATATCGGTTTCTGATGACGAGAAGAATTATTTTTCTTAAAGTCAACCAAACCATTTTGCAATAAACATTGTGGTAAAAGTCCGTTATATTTTGTTTCGGAACGTATTTTAAAACAATAGTGCAGACTGCGAGTGGCGCAAGTTGCGCCATTTTCGGTTCAATTTGCCTGGAGTCTAAGATGTCACATGGTCTGAAGTTATAAATATTCTGTCTTAAGGCCAATGTAATCAAAAAACCTTTTTTAAGCCATTTGAAGCAAATATTAAATATTAAGCAAATTCAAATATAGCATGATTTTGTACAACGAAAACAACATTTTAAATTTGCTCAACTTCCCACCCTGTGCACAATCTAACAAAAGTGGCCATTAATGAACATCAAAAAGGAATTAATGAAGGAGGGCAATACAGAGGGCAGTATTTTAATGCTGTCCCAACTCAAAGGCCAGATAGAGGGGTGGCTCAACTGACCCCATGGCTCAACTGACCCCATGGCTCAACTGATCCCATGGTTTAACCTGGCTGAACGTGGGCTTTCCTCAGATAATTCCTCTGGGCTTTTTCTCCCACCTTTAAAACAATCAGTATTCGGTTTGCACATTTTAACTGCTGTCGTCACCAGACCGGAAATGTGGGAAATAACGTGTACGTGTACATATTAAATGCAGGTAGTGACATTTTATCATAAAAAAAGCATTTGTTCCCAATTAAAGCGATTTTCCTGGGGAGGCTGAATGTTATGTTTCTGTTCCTGTTCAGACAAAAACAAGATTAACAACTAGGCAATGTTCAATGAAATAGTTTTCGTCTCGTTCACTATGGCGTTTGTAACACAATACGTGTACATAACGGGTACTGACATTTATCAAAAGAAGCATTTTTAACTCAGTTGTAAAGACATATTTTAATGGGGAAGCTGAATGTTATGTTTCTTCTCCTGTTCAGACATAAAACAATTCACAACGTCCAATGAAGTAGTTTTCGTCCCGATTATTTTAACGTTTGTAACACAATAAACGCAATGCTATGGTTTCCTTTTTTTGTGGCCACGGTGGTTCAAGAGTGGCCATCAACTTTTCAACCACCAGAAAATGCAGATTGCATATTTTGTCACAATGGTTCCAAAGTAGCCATCGGTTTAAATTGTCTGCTTGCACCTACAAACTGATAACTTTTCCCAATTACCCTGCCTCCTTTTATCATGATTATGTGTGAACAAGCCTTCATCTTTGATGCGCGTGGACGTAGCCGCTCTTTACAGCGCTCTCGTCGTTTGCTATTCTGACACTTTGTACATCGAATGAATAGTTGCACTAGACACTAATAATTCTATGTTACAACTGATAATGTAACAACCAACGGATAATGTATCACCATCCGATAATGTCACACAAATTGACCGATGCTGTATCACTAACCGATAATGTAACAGAAATTGACCGATAGTGTAGTAAAAATGTACTGCACTATCAGTTGATTGTTGTTACATTATCGATCTTAACCGGTCGGTGATCATTATCCGTTGTAAGATGGAATTTTGCGTCGGGGTTATATAAATCAAATTAGGTTTTGCCCGTCGGTGAAGGGCAAAACCTAATTTGATTCATTATCCGTTGGTTATTACATTATCAGTTGTAACATCCTATTCCAACCAGCAACATTCTAATAGCGAGGCATTAACGCCCTTTCCTTATAAACAGATGAATAGAAAAGAAAGGGCTTGTATACACAAGAACCACAAATACGGCATCTTTTATCTACGTTTTGCG